TACACTTGGTGAAGGCACAAGGCTTTCCTCTTCGAATTCTCCTTCCACTGGTGCAATGTCAGAATTTCGGACACGATCGAAACGATCCGGTCCGTGGGATTGGCCAAAATGGCTGGGTGAAACTTTTGCTTCTGATGACTCACTCGGCCTTACGGGATGTCTCCCCGCCGGCCGAAAACCTGCTTGCGCTTAACCCAAACGGGCATCTTGTAGACACCGCCCATGACGATCATCTTCAACTTCCTTCCACTTGCCCGATGCAAGGCAAATGATCCTCCGTTCTCTTCACTGTCGTGGACAATCCTCCATCCGGCCGCAACCATTCGGCTGGTGCTGAACAACGGCCTCTTCAGAGGGGACAGCACCACAGCCTCGACCTTGTTGACCTGCCAATCTTCAAAGCAGATCACAGGGCTGGCGCTTCCCAACGCCGTCACTTCGTGGTTTGAAGCACTGGTATACTGCTTTGGCCCAGAGTGATCACCCACTTGGTAACCTTGGACCAGGGATTCCGGAAAGCAAGTAACAGCAGCTCCACTGTCGACAGTGACGTAGACCTTTTCCCATTCGCCGTCGATTGCCGGCTCGTCCACGCTGAAGATCTCAAGGCTCTCCACGGAGCCCTCGTCACGGTAGTGGCGCACCAAATGATGGGCCTCCTGTTTGGAGAACCCCAAGTCCACCAAGCATTGACTCGGTTTCCATTTCCCCCAAGTCTCATCGTCATCCTCAGAGACGTCGGGTTGTCCAACCACAGGCTCCTCTTCGACAACCACCTCCTCATAGTCGTTGCAGGGCACGTCTCGGCTCCCACATGCGGTGGATGGTGGCTCGTCTCTCTGCTCGTTGCTCGGCATCAAAGATGCAATTTTGGCCTCATGCACCCTGATCTCCTCTTCGATCTCAGCGGCTTCCTGGTCGTCTTCTGCCGATTCAAGATTTTGCGACAGGGTCTTGATCTCCTTCCTGGACCAAGCCACGTCTGCAAGGTTTTCCAGGTTCGGCTCCTCAATCCTGGCCTTCTTTCTGGCCCAGGCCTGGTCTGCGAGCAACTCGAAGTCTGGCTCTCTCTTCGTGGGCCCTTTGTCCGCCGGAAGCGGTCGAAGCGACCCTTTCCGTGCGCGGACATGGGCACCTTCCTTCCATAACTTCGCCCGTTTAGCCTTGCTCCGTTGCCGCAACAGGCTGAGTCTCCAACCCGTTCTCTTGAGGTGTTTGTGCTTGGCCTCGGCTGTGTTGCGCTTCATCCATTGCGGTCTGGACCAATTGCGAACCTTGACTTCTTCCAGAGGCTCATCGTCCTCCTGGCGGAACTCCTTCCGCTCCTTATAGTTCAGAGCCCTCATCACCAAGTCAGGCCGCAAGTCCTCCCGGTCTCCTTCGAACCGACCTCCGTATCGGTCGATCTGGTGTTGGCGGCGAGTGTCCACTCCAGCTTTCCACTCGACATCCTCGGTCGAACCGCGGAACTTGGCGTGCCATTTGTTGTCAAGCTCCTTTCTTTCAAAGGCCCTTTCGGTGGACCCTTCCGCACGGTGCTTTGCCGCTCGCACGCGGCTTTTCCATTTTCGCTTGGACAGCCGCACGCTGTGGCCAGCGCGGATGTCCTGTCGGTACCGTGGATCTTCTTCGAAGCGTGCACTCCGTCCTTTCAGGACCTCAAGCTGTTGCTTTCTTGCCGCGATTTCCTCCTCCAACTTCCGTTGACGATCCTCGTCGGATCCTCCTTTGCTCAGCTCGACTTTGGCTCGGTGAATCTCTCGCGCTTCCACCGACTTCAGGTTGGTAAGGAGAGAGCGGATAAACGCCTCGGTTGACCCAGTTCCTTTTCCTCGGCCTTCACCGGTGGACTTTCCTCTACTGGATTCCTCGTCGGACTTAGGCTTGCTCTCCTCCAGGACGAAAATCGCTTGGATTTCAGCCTCAGCACCCTTTTCTTTGGAGTCCTGCGCCTCTCCTTCCAGAGACTTAATCCCAGGCTTTCCTTTGCCTTTGGAATCTTTACCTTTGTTGGATCCTTTCCAGGACCCTTTGCCTTTGCCGTCAGACTTCTTGCCTTTTCCGTTCTTTCCGCCAGTTCCTTTGCCTTTTCCGGTCCTGTCCCAACAGTCCTTCGCGAGGTGGCCAAAACGGCCACACGCGTGACAAGGCCCAACACTTTGGGAACCGCCTTTGCCTTTCCCAGGCTTGCCTTTGGCTTTTCCTTTGGCCATGGCATCAACATCCATGGCGTCCGGATTGCGCATGGGAACCGACGTCTTGATGTCCAAGTACGTGTCGATCTCAGCCCTCATAGCATCGTAGCTCGCGAGTCTGCTTGCGTGTAAGTCCAGGTGTTCAGCTAGAGAGTCAGGGCACAAAGACTGAAGGCATAGGCGACGAGTGGGATCGCTCAACGCGTCACTGGTCCTCTCTTGGTACTGAGTGTAGAGACGTTCCCACGTCTCGATAGCTCCACGTAGGCTCGACAAGTCCTTGGCCTTTGTAGGCCTCAACACTTTTGCCAACAAGTGGTAGTTGGACTGCGTGGTCTGTGGCTCGTACTCTCGACTAAGTCGCCTCCATCCATCAAGTCCACTTTGGGCTAACGAATTGCGTAGGATAGACAGAGTCTCACCCTTGGTCAAGGACACCAAGGCCGTGTGTAGCTGCCGGTTCACTCGAGCAGCATCATCCCATCCTGGCCTGGTGGCCACTTCAAGCTCTATCGCCCGATCATCCACGACTCCGTTGTAGGCTGCCGCCCACTTCAACATCTCATCTGCTTGTTCGTATTGGGATACGAACCACGTCGTGAAACCAAATGACCATAGAGGCCACTTCTGCTTTATTTGCTCTTTTGTCTCGCCTTGGAGCACCTCAGGTTTGCCGACTCCTTTAACATCGACCACTCCTGACTTGTCCTTGGGTGCCAGCTTTGCCAAGGACTCACTCAACACTCTCACGGACTCAGTCGTCTCTTCTCTCTGCACGCCCAAAGCTTGCCTCATCGCTGCGTCTCTGGCCTCCATTGCTTGCTGATTCTGTTGGATCAGCTGCATGGTGTTCTGGTTGGCCACATGCATTTGTTGGAGCATTTGCGCCATCATCACCATGGGGTCTACTGGCCCTGGCGGCTGCTGAGCCATGACTGGCGAGAGTCGAAGCGACCCTTCGCCGTCAGTCCTGCTTGGGGTACGTCAGAGCGACCCTGTTCAGCAGGGCCTTTGGGTACCTCTGTAGGTGGTGACCCACAAAGGCGAACAACCTCTGTAACTTTCGGATCTTCAAGATCCTTTTCACCAAGGCACCCCAGTTCAACACGGGCCTGTTTGCGGTGGCCCTTCGACAGCAGTTGCCCATTCAGGGCTCCGCTACCATGCAGCGGAAAAAGTAGCAACTCACACTTGGGCTCTACCCTTTTATCTACGCTGAACGAAGTCGAAAACGGCTGCAGATGAAACAAGTCAAGGTGAACCAAACTACAACTAACTAGGGGTCAGGTTCCAGCAAGAGAGAGAGATATATATATAAAAAATAAATAATTGTTCAGTACACCTAAAACATGCATGTATATACGCATAATAAAGAACAACATGTGTCAAACAAGCATATGTAGCTAATCCTTCAAGTGGGTGAAGTAATAGGCTGGTGGGCGAGCAGGAATTAGCCTGAGAAGCCAAAGCCAAAACAAGACGGAAGGAGCGAAGCAAGGAGTAGGGGCGACGGATCAAACAAAAATACATATGGATTCAACAAGAATATGCGCAAATAATCTCAAGAATATGGAGAGGCATCAAGCAAGAATAACATTTTCAAAAGTTATCTCTGGGATTTGATCAAGTGTAGTATATTATTTGTTTCGTGGCCATACAACATGCTTGTTACATATCTTGAACAAATTGAGTAGGCAGCCAAGTGCACCTTTTTTTACGTCTAAGACCACAAGCTCCCTTTGACATGTGATCATACCGCTGGCTCCACAAGTGCAGACAAGTTCAAACCATATTGCCAGGCGTTGCTGCGGGACATCACCATGCATACTCGCTCTTCAGATAAGGGGAGCATTGGGGGTGCAGGGCAGGTAGTTTTCCGTGATGGCAAGGCGTGCATTCTCTTCAAAGGGAATGGCCACTCCAATGTCCATGCACATGCTGTGAATATGTGTATCTATCTATATATATATACATATTTATAATATATAAGTACAGATAGATTATTTGTATGTATGTACATATATTTATGTCAAAGATGGATATAGACTTGCGTGCGTGTGCGTGTCAATGTGTGAAGTTCTCCTTGTACACATGTTTATGCATGAATATCTGTAAATGTATGGTTTAAAGGATCAAAACCTTGAGTGATGGGGTGATGCTTCATTGAAACGCTTCAACAAATTTCAGATTAGTTGACGAACCAACTCAACACGACGAGGACGGTGCAAACACAATAACATGCAACATGCGCAAGTATAGTTTATGTAATGGTTGAAATAAAATGAAGCAGCCTGTATATTTGCCAAAATGATACCATTGCTGAAAACATCTGCTAAAATCCCCTCCATGTTGCAAAAGGTCGGAGAACCCAAGAGAAGTCAGAAAACTATATTTGTATTTGCTGTGCTGTATTGAGGGAACCCACAATTTTCATGAACGAAGAGCAATTTCAGCAAAACGTCAACTTTGGGAAGTATTGTGCGACTGAATATTCGGTGTTCCATGTGATTAGGCAACGATATTTGAAGAAAGGTTGAGCTCTCGCAACGAAGAAAACAATAGCGTAATTTTAATCATGGTTAATCAGAATATATAATGTATTGAAATATACTTCCCGAAATAGATATATAGAACACCTTTTTGATTATTTGACTATCTTAACAGCAGCCCAGCATATATGAAATGGAAAAAACATGTTTGAAACCACCAACCAGTTTTGAACTTATTGGTGTCCCTGGTTCTTCTTCGCATTCATCCGCAATTATCTACCGTTGGGGATGCGGAAGGGGACGGTGAAAACCTCACCTCGACTGGTCCTCCTTTTGTTGATCCTGAAGCTTTTGAAGCTCGGATGCCTGAGCTCAGACACCCGCTGCGATGCTCGCGAAAGTCATGAAAAGAACAGCAGGTTCACTGCAGAGAAACTGTCACCAAGGAAAGACTCCACGGAAAAATCTTTGTTATAGTTAACAGATGTTAGCAGTAATTGTGGATATTTCTTGGTTAACCACTGCACCAATTACAACAATTCACCAACACATTAGACACATCATTCCTTTGCATCAACGGTCACCCTACAGTAAGCCGTTGCGGCCGTTGCGCGGTGCCAAGTTGCCCGTGCCTCTTCCGCACCAACCAACCTGGACTTGTTCAAAAACTCCAAAGGGGCAGTTGAGTTTCAGGTGTGGCCACTTGAAATCTCAACTCTACCAATCAAGCTCCAATAATCACAGTCCAAGTGGCTTTTTGGTTAAATTTGATTGCAACTGGTTGCATATTCTTTCCTGCTGCGACGTGGCATCCTGGTGCGCAACAAGGCAATGTGCACTTCGACTGCGATTTTCCAAGATGGCACCCGTCGTATCACCCTGTCCTGCAGTGCTGCAAACTTCCCATCGTTGCTTTCACGAAGGACCTTAATGCAATCAGAGAAAGTGGAAACAAGTCTGATTGGCTGACCTTGATACGGATATATGGAAAATGTATGAAAATGTTTCAGACATATCAACCCGCAAGTAGCACGCAAGTCTCAAGTCGTCTTTGTGCACATGGCAGAAGCTACCTTTCCGACAAGCAGCATTCAGCTCCGCTGCCAGCCTGAAAGTGCACGGGTGCTCGATCAACGATGCTTGCTCTATTCACAGCCACTTGCCCGAACTAGATGTGACTGGAATTTCTTCAGCACACATTTTCAACACTAGGCATTTCCGCACCTGGACTGGTCCTCCTTAAGTTGATCTTGAAGCTTTTGAAGCTCGGATGCCTGAGTTGGGATCGTGGATTCGGAAGCAAAACATAGCCCAGATTTGATCTCCACAAGCCTTGACAGCCCTCCATTCTTCATTACAGCAAAGAGCAGAGAGTGCAAAGCCCACTGGACCAAAAATGACCAAAATCACCCAATAAATCCAATAATGACTTTCAAATGCATTTCTTTTTCTTGCTGTGCTTTTGGCCAAGCTGCCCGTACCTCTTCCTCGCCGACCAACCTGGGCGTTTCCACTGCCGTAGCTCAGCAACTACCCTGGTCCCCAAACATGGCCAATCTACCCTGCAGCACCAAAACCCTAAGAATTGTTGGGGCCAACGCAAGAACCCAAGGTATTTCCACCCCAAGAAAGTAAAGCTCGGTAACCCATACTTAACCCGTACTCAACCCGTATCAACCCCAACCCGCCTATCCTGTACCTAACGCGTATCTAATCCCCACTGTGAGCAAGGGTGAAAATACATCATTCTTTTGTTTCAACCATGTTGTTCTTTCACACCCCAGATTTCTGCAGGCTTTGGGTTCTCAAGGTATGTCATATATCATCATATATCCCCATCTCTTGCCCCCAGATGAGTATCAACACTGCCGAGCCAAAGAGCTTTTTGTCCAGTTCCTTCAGGCTCGACTGCAACTGATGGAAGATTCGCTCTTGCTGTGAGCTTGCATCCTGCGCTGTTGCGGCGCTGTTGCGGCCGGAAACGCTCGGGCGATCAATGAGAAGCTGCACATACCAATACTATGGGTGCATTTAACTGTATAGCTAGTGGTGTGTAAGATGACAAAGATCAACACTCTAGAAAGCCAACAAAATCATGGTCATGGTATCCCATAGGATCCATGTATGCCATATATGGTAACATTTACCATCAATATAGCCCAAATGTTAGCACATATACCATACATGGATCCTATGGGTATGTCATCGTGTATTTTCTTCGCTTCTAAGAACACATCAGACAACTCCTGCACTGCAGCGAATTTTGCATCGTTGCCGTCGCGCAGGACCTGGACAACAGCAAACTGAACCCAATGTAATCTGACCACCCCTCAAGTCACCCTTAGAATTCATAATCATCAAGAATCGGTTCCCACAGAAGACATTTCCACCTGTTTTATCCGAGATTCTCACTATATTCCCCAATATTTCCAAACTTTTCCAGATCTTCCATCCATTTTCCAGAGATTTTGATATATGGAGGTGTCCTAAAATGGCTCGCACCCTCATCTGCTCCAGAAGTTCTTCCTTGGTGCCCTCGAAGCCTATAGAGATCCTGCGGGGGGCGATGGCTGTTGGTCCATTTTTAGAGAAGACACATCCACCGATTGGAACTAGAAAATCATTGGAAGTTCGGTATCTTAATGTATTTGTCATGTTTTTAATTTATAGTGTCTTTATAAACAAAAACACATGATCTTTCCAATGAGAATAGACATTGAAATGATTCGCTAAAGGAAATACATAATTTTCTTAATGAAAGTTGGCATGACATATAATTGAGATCTAACGCAAGATGGCCCAAACAAAAACCATGAATAAGGCGTATCGGCCTATCGGTCCGTTTTCCTTGGGGCACCCGTTGGGCATTTGACAAATGGCATGGTCATCTTTAGGATCCGAAACCATGAAAACTGGGGTCCAATCATTTTGACCCATATAATGTCCACTTTTGGTAAAAAAAGAAGGGTCGGGAGCTGGTATACCATCTATATCCATCTATCATCATAGAAACATATAGAAACCTGTTATTTCGGAGTTTCCAAACAAACCCCTCTATTTTTTTTTAACCAACCAATGGGAATTTGGGACATCATTTTGACCCATAGCCATGACTGAACATCACCGGGGATGAAGACCTTGGAGACATGGGACGACCCAAATTGGGATGGCCGTCCGCCGAAAACGACCAACATTGAACAACGGTTACCAACTCACTTTCAAATATGATCATACTATAGACTATATTGTATGAACCATATATAGTATATTATATATATACACTGTATATGTTATAGTCATATATGACCCATATCATATCCATGTTGATGAGCATCTGATACAACTTGACCAATTTCGACACAATGAACATAGAGACACAATAAAGAACACAAATTCACCACAACCAAACGAATGGGCTATGGGAAAATAACACATCGAATTGCCATGAATTGCCTGTACCTTCAGACATAGCAGCAACTATGACCCTCCCCACTTTTCATTGGGGACATGACCAGCAAGCAAAAACGTGCACCCACATACCGATAACTGTCTCTCTCTTTGGGGTGCCCATTTTTTACGACAAAAAAACATGTGAAAACAATTGACACAGGGTTGAACATAAGGCCAACTTGCAACCAAACTCATCAACAAAGAACAACTGGATGTACATAATGGCTGGGGAACAACATATTTCCGCAAAATATTACGGAACAACCTCAATCAACTCACTAAGTCATCTGGGAAACTGGCCGCCGCTGATATTTCCTCGAGATGTCCCAGCAAAATTCATCAAAAATTCCCTATAGATTCCCCTGAGAATTTAATCCCTTCCTCCTAATACTAAACGTCCCCCTAATACTAAAAACAGGCATCCATCTCCAATTTCCGAAAATTTCAGTTTGGCCAATTTGACTTTTAATTGATCCCCTTTAAAAAACAATTTAAAAATCAACCTACCATTTGTGGGTTCTCCCCCCTAATACTAAAAACTAGTTCACCCCGGGGTGTTTAGTATTAGGGGGGCCTAGTCCCAATCCCTCACTCCAAGCTGCCTGGCTACTCTAGCAATTAGGGGTAAGCTTCGAACTGCCATTTTTGGCAATATTTTAATTGCGTTATATAAGGAAATTTAATTGATTTTGAGATCGGAAAAAATAGTTTTTAGTATTAAGGGTTTTAATTTAGTATTAGGGGTAAGCTTCGAACTGCCATTTTTGGCAATATTTTAATTGCGTTATATAAGGAAATTTAATTGATTTTGAGATCGGAAAAAATAGTTTTTAGTATTAAGGGTTTTAATTTAGTATTAGGGGTAAGCTTCGAACTGCCATTTTTGGCAATATTTTAATTGCGTTATATAAGGAAATTTAATTGATTTTGAGATCGGAAAAAATAGTTTTTAGCATTAAGGGTTTTAATTTAGTATTAGGGGTAAGCTTCGAACTGCCATTTTTGGCAATATTTTAATTGCGTTATATAAGGAAATTTAATTGATTTTGAGATCGGAAAAAATAGTTTTTAGTATTAAGGGTTTTAATTTAGTATTAGGGGTAAGCTTCGAACTGCCATTTTTGGCAATATTTTAATTGCGTTATATAAGGAAATTTAATTGATTTTGAGATCGGAAAAAATAGTTTTTAGTATTAAGGGTTTTAATTTAGTATTAGGGGTAAGCTTCGAACTGCCATTTTTGGCAATATTTTAATTGCGTTATATAAGGAAATTTAATTAATTAATTAACATGACTTCGATTTGGTTCCCTAATAATAAATACCCCCCTAATACTAAAAACTACCTGCCGTGTTTTGTATTAGGGGGGGGGGGTTTAGTATTAGGAGGAAGGGATTACTAATCACAACAGCATTCACTGCCTCAGCAAACCCAAGTGGTATCATCTGGTTATGACTAACATATACTAACGCAGATGGAAAATCACCATTTTTGATACGTAAACCATCTATAAATATAAATGGGCCATTTCCCATGGCTATGTTCAATAACCAAACCCAAAAATAGTCGCCAATGATTTGACCAAATCTAAGTCCGCCTCTCGTGCAACTCGGAGAGGCTCGACACGGTGATTCCCAGATCTTCGGTGGACATGCAGTTCTGACGTAGCAACTCCTTCAAGGCGCAGCGCCTGGGGATTTCTTCGGCCCAAAACAACGATGGTGATTTCAACCATCCCAAAAATATGAAATAGATATAGTACAGTAGCAGGATATAGCGGGTATAAAATGCATTGAAACATATAGCCACTAATTAGCCATTAATATCCATCTAGTATGCATCTGCAGAGTCCTCGAGGCTGCGATGTGACCTCATGGGCTGATTGTCGCACCCCAGGACGCAACATCAAAGAACATTGGGAAAAAACATGTCGCTTCAAAATGCTTAAAACTTTGAAGATCATTTCATTTTTTTCTCTGGTCCGTCAGCACTGCACCCAAACTAACACGCAGCGTTATTAGCGTTGCCCCTCCCAGCTGCCAAAGTACTGCTCTTGTCGGCTGTTCGTCTGCCCCAGTTGGGCTTCCAGCCTGGTGTTCGGGTTTGAAGCAAAACAAAAATGAGAAAGCATGGGGAAAGCCCTACTCTTCATGGGAAAAATCATGAACAATATGAAACATATGTAAACACTTGTAAAAACGTATGTCCGAATAAACGAGTTGCACCTTAATCTACAGTAACTACCCTCTGGTAATTCAATATAGCCATGGCAAAGTAGCCATCTGTATAGATTCCAGATGATTTACCTAAAGATGAACCATCTTTTCTGGTTGGTGGTTTGAACCCCTCTGAAAAATCATCGAGTTCGTCAGTTGGGATGATGACATTCCCAATATATAGAAAGTCATAAAAGCCATGTTCCAAACCACCAACCAGTGATTATTAACCATCATTAAATAATTATATAACCATGATTAACCATGATTAACCACCATTAACTTTTTCATGGACTCTTTGATTTCCGTTTCGGGCCGGCAACCTGGCCCCCGCCAGTGATCCACCCCTCTCCATCTCCAGGTGGAAGAAACGCTTCACCAAGCTGCTGATCATGCTGCTCCAGCAATTTGCCGAAGGCTTCCTCCAACTTCGCAACAGCTTCTGGCCTCACATCTGGGATGTTTTACCCTCTGGTAAACTAACATAACTATGGAAAATCACAATTTTTTATGGGTAAATCCACTATAACTGGCCATTTTCAATAGCTATTTTGACATAACCAGAGGGTAAGCTGTGCCTGAAACTTGAACGACCTAAAAGAGTCCACTGTTTCTATAGGAAAACTGGGGGGGAAACCTGAAGGTTTGTAGATATAATATGATATAATATATAGCAATGTAATAATAATATCAATATATAGTGAATAATATAGTGACTATAAATTATAGTGTGTATATATATACGTATACACAGTTTACACACTTTAATTCAATGTACGTTGCACAATACATAATGGATCAAATGGATCGTAGAATTATTGGTTGCTCCCCATGCTTTTATACGCACAAAGGCACCCAAAAACACATCGAATGGTTGAAGCAGCAACAAAAACAAACCATAACAAACCAAAATTTGGCCAAGCGAACCATTCATGGTATACTTAACAATTAATGTGGATCTACATTTTCCAGTTTTTCATAGTTTTCCGGTTTTTTGATATCCAATTAGATCCAATTAGTAACGATGATATAACCATATATAACCAACAACCACTCAGAACATCTTCGCAGAAATGTTACCGTTCGCACCTGCTGGGAGAGCCGAGTTCTTGCGCCTGGGAAGCTCGGAAACTCGGGGAAAAACACCCCAGTTTGGAGATGAAAACGCCACTGTGTCATAGATTGAAATATGTTGAAATAATTATACTGATGTTAACATGTATACACACATAATATAGGTATATATACACATATATATATATATATATACACTATTATACTGTTGATTTACAATGGTTGAAAAATCTTTTATCATCTTTTGCATGTTGTGTATTGTTGCGTCAGTCCAGAGTTTGCCGCCCTGCGCCTTTTCAGAGTTGCTGGGGCGCCAAACTGTTGGGGGAGACCTCACCAGTTGGTCTACTAGGTCACGGCAATGCTCATCCAGAGTCTCCTGGCAGCAAAAGTAATGCCACCCTCACTTGGGGCATCTAAATTGGTGCAACTGGGATGACAAAACGTGACCATAGGATACCATAGGACCAAGAACAACCACGGCCCTTGCCTTTCCCGATTCAAACGCTTCCATCAAAAAGGAAAGGGGCGGGCGCAGCACCCGCACTCTTAAGCACATTGCGCATGAAAGTCGAAAGGATTTGGCAAGATGAAACCATCAAAGCTTGTCATCCAATCCCCCTAACATTAAACATCCCATAAATGGTCCCAAAATATCTGTAAATACTCTACTAAACCATGTTTTCTGACCCATTTTCGTTGCTTCTTTCCCCTGTTTGCGCCGTCCTGATGCACTGCCACCTGCTTCTCCAGGGATTCGACAAATCGGCTTTCCGCACGTTGGACCTGTCCCCAACCTAGTTCCACATGGACACGATTCAACCATTGGGCGGCCATGATTTCGAAGATGTTCTGTTCTAGGGTCACATGTCAAAACCCCTGCTAGGCCTAGATACTGTACCCAAAAATAGCTGCTGAATGAATGGCTATCCCGAACAGATATTGTAAATTCATGTAAATTCATAGGTTTTCACCAATCGCGATTTCAAGAAAATTTGGAGGGTTCAGCAAAATTGACACCTTGATCGTTGGTGAAGCAATGGTGGCTCCGATTGGCTCCGGCCTTCCGAAGCTGTTGCAGCAGCTCACCCTGAGCCTGCTCCAAGCCCTCCATTTGGATCTGGAGAGATCTCACCTGGCCCAACTGGCCACTTTGAAAATCAGGCCGGTCCCCAGAAAACATCTACAGTACCCTCTGGTAATTTAACATAGCTATGGAAAATCACCATTTTTAATGGAAAAATCCACTATTTCAATGGTCATTTTCAATAGCTATTTTGACATAACCAGAGGGTACAAGAGAATTCTGAATGGTTTAATGAAAAGCAAGATGGGAATCCAAATGGATCCAACTCAAATTGCCAGGAGACGTTGCTCTTCAGGGCATTCTGTTGCTTCTGCACAGCTTCCTTCAGGCCGTCGGTCTCCTCCGGTTCTCGCTTCTCCTTTGAATGTAGGACTTCCTCCTCTAAGTCGCTGAATCTCTGGGTGAAGGCATCCATCTTCTCATCAAACTTCCGCAGGCTTTCTCGCAAAGACTCCTGGCCAAGGACGACCCTCTCAGCACAACACTTCAGCCGGGGCATTGACTGGAGATTTGTTGAGGTCCGAAAGACACAAGCAATTGATTGCTTGGAGCATTGCGCCATCATCCCAAAAATGATGGTTGATATTAGTTGGGTCCTTTCCATCAAAATCTCCTTGTCCCATGACAAGAGCCTGTGAACATCTGCGACAAACGGCTGTCCTGTAATCGGCTCATCTGGGCCTCATTTTCCTCTCGAGCGGTTTGAAGATAGCCATCCATCCTGAGTGGTTGAGGCCACTAGGCCTCCAATTTTAGAGGGGTTCCACCATGTTCCACCCATTTCTCGTAAACTTGAGGATGGTTTTGGGTTTTGGCTTTACCATGCTTTACCAAATTTTCCGGGTACAAACATGTACAAACCTATTCAATTACACCATGGACAAAACCACCACCCAGTATCCATTCTGTACACCTCTGCTCTTCCTCTTCGGAAGCGGTGGTAGCCATAGCCTGGCTGAAGACGCTTCAGAGCTGCTGGAACACCCGGAAGGAAAACGGGCACAAAAGTAACCATAGTAACCCATACTTTTGTAGATGGATGTGTTTGAACATGGGGATGACCCCTGAATTGACGGCATCTAGATCTATCGAATGTGGTGGTTTTCCGCTAAATCGCAGGTACCAAACCCCAATGCCAGCCATAAAAACTGTGGAGAGGCTGCCCCTGCCTCTGTGGCAGGCGTGACCGGTGTGGTTGGTTGGCTGGTACCCTCTTGCAGCTCCTACCATTGATGATGCGATGATCATTGATGATCATTGATGATCTGATGCCTTGTAGGCAGCCTAGCAATATGCAACATGATTTAAACTACAAAAAGTAGTGTTTAACACTCAAAATGTGAGGCAACTGGGGATGCAACTCATGGATTGATTTCAATGGTCTTTTTTGACAGGAGAGGCATGAGTCTTTAACATCATCATGGGAATTCTTATCGGGTTTCCTCAGAAGTCAATCACCAGGTTATCGCTAACTACCACCACACATTCCGAAAGCATCAGAAACCGCCCATATCATGACCAATTGCCATGCAACAAAACAGCATCTTGAGCTGGTTCGTCCACATTCCCATTTATGCCAACATATTGAAGCATGAAACTGCCGATCCCACAATTTCCCCAGCTTTCCGATTCGTGGATGCAGGAAAGCAGTGTCACTGTCCTGACCCTCGTCGGCTGGAGTCCTGCACTGCCAACACATTCAAGGGGTTGGCCTTGCCTTTCTTGAACTTGTTCGTTCAAAAGAAACAATCCTCGGCTTTCAAAATTTGCATCCGTAGTTAAAACAGAACCTCCTTGTATAAACCACTATATAAACGCCTCTAGCTGGACCGATTCTTCGGTTGGTCCGGGACTAGTATAGATCATACCAATGGCGCACTTCAGACCGATGTTTCAAGCTTTTACTCATCACAAGAATTGCTGCCTGGTGCTTGGTTGACTCCCTGCCCCTGCCCCTCCCAAAAAACCTAAGTCTCATGTGCAACCCATCCATACCCATCCTAATCTTCAGACAAACACGAAAAGCCTAAGGGCCTAAGCAAATAATATGGGTACATATGGGTACAATCCATCCATGCCAGGGTCCTCTTCTCGCTCTCCAGTTTCTCCGGCCTGGGAGACAGCAGCGGGTCCGCATCTAAGCAGAAGTCCGGTTCTGCTGGCGCAGCTGGGGCCTCAGGATGGAATCCCCCTGGTGGGTCTGGTGGGTCACTGGGGCTGGTCATCACCACATGCGGGTGATGTTTTGACCACAAAAATGATACCCTCTGGTAAACTAACATAACTATGGAAAATCACCATTTTTCATGGGTAAATCAAATTATAAATGGCTATGTTCAATAGCTATGTTTGTTTACCAGAGGGTATATGAAACTAATGAAAGTCATCATACAGTACAAACATGTACAGACTACAGGCCATGTGTTTTGTTTTTAAACCATTGGTTTGAAATGGGCTTCCTGTAATGTAGAGAGTTTCCTGATTCACAATTGTGAGTTTTCCGATCATTTTTTTGGATAGAATAACCACCTACTTTTGGCCCAGTGAATTCTCTCCTTCTAATGCTCAAATCTCAAATCCTTCCAAAAAATCTCAAACTTCTCACCCTCAGATATTTACAGCATTAAGGAAACAAATCTCTTTCTAATGCTCAAATCTAAAATCCTTCCAACATCTTCCAACAAAAAATCTTCAATCCCCCGGCCCCATCTCGCCCCAGCCCCATCTACCCGCACCTCCTTCCGCAGCAGTTCGGGGATGCTCCCCCTGCGCTGGGCATCCAGCAGCAGGTGCCCCAGCAGGTGGCCCAGCTCCAGGTCCGAGCGTTGCCGTTCGCCCATGGACACCTACAGTCGGGCTCGTGGCCGGCCCGGGGCCCAACATGGGAGGTGGGTTGGGACATGGCAAGCTGGTTGAAGGATGAAGGGATGAAGTAGAACACTTGGAGAGTTGGGAATTCTGAAGGTGATTAACCTGGTGAAGGATGGTCAGGGCGAGATCTTGCCAACAAGTTTTGACAAGATTCCTAGGTGATCAGATCCAAATAGTTAAGGGAAATTAAACGGGATGATCTAATCTTGCCAAACAATATCAAACAAATGCGAGAAGTTAAAAAGTCAACCATATCTCTCCAACATGTTCCCTAATAAGTTTGAGGATATCGAACCTGAACAATCTGAAGATAGTTTTGGGAATATGATGCCAATGTTGAGATGTTGAGGGAGAACATCAAATTGACAAAACTTGGGAAATTGATGATTGAATATTTCGACATATTTCGACAATCTGGATGCAAACAAGAGGGCCATGGTCAGCCTCGTCGCCTCAAACAGGATCAAACAGGCATAAAATTGAAACTGACCGTGGGATTTGCAAAAAGGTTTTGTCAGTTCTGAGATTGTGGGAATCGATGCGAATCGTCATGATCAATTGAGCAGCATGGTGTTCATTCATGTCAAAAAGGCTTGCAAACATATACAGAACATCACAGATTTTTTTCATGCCTGACAACACTCCCCTGGCTCCTGGCTCTTTATTCAACCGGAGTTATTGTAACCTCAGGAAAATTTTATTGCCAACCACAAACAATGTGGTGACTCTTGCCACTGCTCAATTCCTATTCATCAATCATCATCAATCACATTCATCTGATCATATTCAGTGTAACCAGGAGGTTTTGAACATGACCCTCCCAATATCTCCTACATATTTACTTCCTACTTGCAAGATCATTCTGAAATATTATAGACATTTTAATTTATAAGCCCTTTTTTAGGGTGGTGATCGATCTTTTCCAGCCCAGAAAAGCCCCTCCAGCCCCTCTGGTTCCGCTGGTTCCAGCCTCTGATCGCTTCCAGCGAAACATGTTGGCCAAGCTATGCCGCGGAGACTTCAGAAAGACGCTGCTCCGCGCCACCGAAGATCTGGCCTTCGAAGATCTTCGGAAGCGAGAATCCGTGGGTCGTTCCAAGGGTGGATGGATCAACAGCCATCAAGAGGCACATTACCCTCTGGTAATTTAACATAGCTATTGAAAATGACCATTTGTAGTGGATTTCCCCATTAAAGATTGCCATTTTCAATAGCTATGTTAAATTACCAGAGGGTAAATGGATATTCCTTTGATTGATGGGAAATAACATTCATTGATATCCATACATTTTGAATAACAACACCACCATAAATTGAACAGGTGATATATGATATACTGTATGACATACTCCGCTTCAATCATCATCTGTTGCAAAGTAGATTGGAAAGTATATATGTGAATCCTGGGAAATACTATCTCTTCGAACTCCCCAAGTTTCGTGGCAACCCAGGGGTCGACCCACACAGATGCAGATGTCTAAGTCACTGTGGACACATGTTCCAAACATATGGGCTGGATTGGGCTGGAACCTCCGTGTGAGCCATTTTCCGAATATGTTTTATAAAAGAGAGAGAGAGAGAGGGAGGGAGGGAGCAGAGAGAGAGAGAGAGAGAGAGAGAGAGAAAGAGTCATTTGGGATAAAGATCCAAGAAATCTTTTCAAGTTGAAAGATGTTGAACTTCACGTCGCCGCAAAAAAAAAAGAACACACACACACACACGTTTGAAAGCAATACCAACAAGATCCAACAAGTGGCTGTTTCCAGTGCAGTGGTGCTTGATTCCGACAAGGACGTGGACTTCCTTGGGGTTGGAGGAGTTCGGCTCCCCTCATCAATCTCTACCAGTTCCTCCTCGTCCGCGATGGACACCATGGACATGCGAGGCTTCAGATTGCCAGGCAGTCGCAAGGGATTTCCTTGGGCGGTGCTGGGGAGAAAAGAATCTCCAGCTTCGCCTGGAAAAGAACAGCTTTTTATGGGAAATCCAGCAGCTTTTTCAGATGATGTGACCTCTGATTTTCATATTAGATAATGGGCCAGCTTAGAACCTGTCAGAACGGAAAAAAGGATATCCACCATGTGTTTTTCAATGGATTTCCCCTTAAGTCCCCCTCTTCCGGTGGCAAATCAAGTTTCGGGGAGATCTGGGAGATGCAGGTGAGCTAGACGTCTTGGAATCTGGACTCTCCCCCTCCTTTGGGAAGGAAAAGCCACGGAAGGCCGCTGCAGCGGTGGTTGAATTCATTGGCAGTTGAGTCAGGTCGGGCACCTGGATTTGCGAGGTGCCACGATTGCTGGTGGTAGGGAATGGGGGAATGCACCACAACGTGACAACTATTTACATCATGTTACATCTATTAACAATCATCCCATTTCTCCATTTCCTCAGCACAAGTAGGCCTAAAGATTCCCAATTCTCTGTTTTTTCTTCCGATGTCCAAGCTTTTTTTTGGCTTCTAAAAGGGGTGGCACCCTCTAATGCATCATTTTCTGGTGGAATTCTCAATGGGAAAATACCCCAAAAATCACCAAACTAACACATCACCGACTAAAATGACTCAGCAAATCCAAGGCACATTCGTCCCCGTCGCAGGCAGAGATGAGGAGGTTCGCAGAATTCCGCGACGCCGTTGGGTGTGGGCAGGCGGAGTTTCCAGCTCCTCCCCCTTGGCAATCTGATATTCGGCAACAATCATTGGATTGGAGCATCCTTAGCTTTACTCAAACAGCGACAACATATGACAACATGTAAACCTTATTCCCAAATATTCCCATTTATGCTTCTGCGGCAGGAAACTAAAGCACTATAAAACACATTCCCATGAGTTTCCACACGTGAACAAAAATCTCGGTTGGAAATCGGGCTAACAAAAAATCCAGGCATCGAGCATGCAAAGGTGGAGCCTCCGATTTGGCTTCCAAGCTATTGTGAGCCTGGCTGACAGCGTTGTCAGCGGGGCTCACCTCAGCTTTCTCCAACCTCTCCAGCTGTTTCTGTTGCGAGGACAGGGACTCAATCGCCAGGCGTTGGCGCAGGCGCTTGATGGCCTGTGCATTCCAGTATCTCCAGTGGAGTTTTTGGTCAACAAAAAATAACAAAAATCAAGCAACTCAGGATAACTCAGGTGTCCCCATAGTTTTCCTTCCAAAACAAACACATCCATTGGGAGAAAAGAAACTGGTTCTCCGAGTGGCCCGAACCAGGATGACCTTCTCCTCTTCGTCGGGAATCCAAGGAGCCTCCTCCAAGGCTCTGCGAGCCAAGGAGCCTAAACTACGCCCTTCTTCAGGTACACCTGGGTCACCTGGGGCTTGGTAAATCCTCCCATCTTGGGGGACCAGAAGCATCCCGAACTCATCACTTTTTTTCAAGGAAACAAGAATGGTTGGGGTAAGCCCTACTTTGCTGAGTTAAGACAAGCAGGTTGACTATTAGGATATTAGTATAGGTTGATGGTAGCTCATATCTCCATCTATGGCCACCTTATACTGTGCAGTTCTAGCGGGTTTTCTCCAGCACGTGCATGTCACATGTCAGCTGGTGACCCTCAGGACCGGCGCGTCACATTGTTCCATTTTCTACTAAAATGCTATACCATTTTTGCTTATCATAAAATCATATAAAATAATTAGTCATGTTATTTTGAATCATTGAATTCCTGCAGATCATCATCTTCCTGCCAAATTAGATACAATTCACCTTTTCAGGGCACCCATTTCATCCATTTCCAACCAAAGCCACCTTTCGACCCCCCACCACCCGGCCCCATGCCATACTAAGCTCGCGGCTCTCCTCGCTCGCCAAGCTGGGCCGTTCACTGCCGGGCTCCTGCAATCCGAGGGCGGCTTCTACGATCTTCTCGCAGGAACCCAGCTTCCGGCCATCTGGGTCATAGGTTCTGATCGTCACCTCGGCACTGCAGCTGAGTGCTGTGACATGCTGTGACTTTTTTTGGGGCTGATAAGCGGCTGATATGTGTGATACTTTTAAGCATAGAATTGGCGATTTAGTCCTACGATTGGGGCCAGAAGTGCAGTACTACATCGACCCTTGAGCGAACCTTAATAACTTATATAAGTTCTCTCTCAAGCCCTCAATTGGCCAAATCAATTCTATATATCTCGATGCTAGCCATTTCCGCAAGCAGTCATTAAGCATAGGTGCTTTTTCTGCCTTTGGCAGGTTCCGATGAACGATCTGATCGATGTCCTCTTCTGTTAAGCTGCTCTTGAGCTCCGTAGCCTAGCTGCGATGGCGAGAATCTGGACAGTTAAATGTTAAATGGCAAAATCAGGTATAAATGGGTGATTTTCCGTTGCCACCTGTGATTGCCAGAGGGTAAATCACCTGAAAAAACAAACATTAGGAGATGGTTTGAGAAATGATCAGAATAACATCACGTAGCAAAATTGGTGCAACATTCCAAATCAACCTGGATCTGCCGGCATTTCTCGATTGTTTCCTCAGGTGTGGCCTCCTGCAGCTCTTGATGTTGTACCGAGTCCATGGCCATTGCGTGCCAAGCTCTGGTACGGCGCTGTCAGCGAGATTGAAGAATTTTGCATGAAAAAACGACTGTTTTTTATTGGCACCTTTTGATATCTCTTGATGATCATTGATGATTGTTTCATATTGTTTCAGAATCTTTTGATGAATCGCATCTCCTCTTCTCGGATCTTGTGAGATCACAGGCGCCAATTCGGTGAAATCTGGCATTTCTCAGCTATTGCTGTGTTGATGTTGGTGCAGCTCCAGAGAGTAGCGGTTGCTTTCTGCTAAGCTCACAGGGGAGGTATACCGGGTTGCGGTCCCCGTCCCTGCTGAAGCTCAGCACGTCACCGACTTCTGGACCCTCGCTAGCGCATAAGATTTTGTTCACTGAGAGCCAGGGAGACGTTCGGGAGAAGCTGCAGTTGTGTATGTTGTGTGCAGAATACCACAGGATTCCACAAAAATAACTATAACTTGAAACTGGCGAATCATCGGTTGAGGATCGGTGTGCTGGAACGCAGGTCCCTGGTGAAGAGACTGCTGTGGTAGTTTGGAATACCAGCAGCTCGTTATCAATCGGACAAGTGATGACAAGTGCCACCTGATCATTTCGACCCATAGCAGCAGCACCACTGCCAAAAATTGGTATTTTCTTTTGACACACACACACACAATCTCCAAGTTGTGGGACTGGAATGACTAGAATTGGCCACACTTTCTGTGGATCAAGAAACATTCCTACTGTAACCCAAATCCTGAAGCTCTGGAGGAAAACACGATATCTCCAAGGCCAAGGCTTTGAGGTCCGACGTGCTGGAATCTGCTTTCCAGGCAGCCAGGCGTGCTCAAAGGGCCTGGTACGCAAATCAAGTTCCAAATCCCTCGGGTTTCCCAGAGTTTTCAGATTTGCCAGCATTCTGGGCAATTCAAACAGGGAAAATTATCGGAGTTAATTATTTAATGAGGGACCAATGGGTACTGTATTAATCTCTCTCCATGATTTTGGGCAAAATGCTATGCTGTGACTAGCACTGCCCATCATTGTGCTATTAGGGGATTGCTGACACGAACATGCTGCCCCGGCCCCCATGTATAATTGTTAGAGAACTCATCATTGCAAGCCCCAGTCCGCTTCCAAATTCACGCCGAAACCAGAAATCCCCATAGTTTCAGAGGGGGGAACTCATATCCAATTTGAAGATGTTTGGAATTGCCAGATTTTGGGTTGCTCACTTTGGGGCCCACAGATTGACACGAAGTCAAGCAATCTGGTCTCGGATTCTGACTGTAGCTCTGATACACTTGCCACAAAGGAGAAGCTAGACCTGACCGAAGCGGAAGCGCCATGTTGATGTGGTCCATGGTTATATACCCCGAAGAAAGTCCTGGTCACAAGCTAGGCAGGGGAGAAAAGCACGCATTTGCAAACACCGAAGCTACGTGGGTTTGTCTGAAGATAGGGTACTCCAATCAATCACTTGGTTGATCATCATGTTCCCCTTTCAAATAGGTGATGTCAGAAAAATAATAGTAAACAATCCCCAAATTCTATCACATTGTTATGGGTACCTTTTTTTTCCTTCAACCATCAATTCATATGAGAGGTTCATTATTGCTTTACTAACATGACAAAAATCTTGGATTTGCTTAAGGAGTCCCCAAAAAATAAAAAAAAATGTTCACTATAGATTCCCCAAATGGTGGATTTTCCATTAGGAAAATAAAACAGATCACCTTAAAGAAACCCATGAAATCCCAACATTTCAACCCGTTTCGGCCTGAGGCCGCATCGCTGCCAGAAAGCCTCCCATTTCCCACCATCCTGCGAGGCCGCCGAGTACAGCGCGCTGACCTCAGAGCCAATTCCCCAGGGTTTGGGGATGGGAAGCATCAATCCATTGTCATATGGATTTGTATACCACTTACCCTCTGGTAAACTAACATAACTATACATAACTATGGAAAATCACCACTTAAAATAGGTAAATCAACTATAAATGAGCCATATTCAATATAACTATATTAGTTTACCAAAGGGTATACGTTTGGATTCCTAATATGGGAGATGACCATAAACCATGTACATCCGGGGTGGAGTTGACATAAACCATATGGGAGATGCCATGGTTTGACATGTTTTGACCCGAGCACATCTGGGGTGGAGTAAATGATGGTTGGGATTGGTGTACCTAATTTCAGATGGCCTTATTTCTTTAAATGAATTATCGCACGTTTATCCAGAATAATCCAGGAAATTGGGATCATACGGCATAATGTCAGCACAGGATATTGCTAAACCCCTGAGACTATAACATAGGGTGGTATCCGTTTTGATGATAAATCGAAACACAATTTGATTTACCCCCAATTAATAGTCATGGTTTAATCGATATTTCAATATAGGAAATAGTAATTATTCAAAATGAGATTCTGGAGTCCCATGATTTAAAACAACTGCAAACCCGGGAAAAAACATTTCATGCTTGAATGCTTGCTGTATTTGGGAGGCACGCCGTTAAAAGATCAGATTCTTGGGCCATGAGCAGTACTTCCAGTGCTTGGTTTCCCAGCATACGGCAGCTTGACGCCGCTGAGCTTCTCCAGACTCGCAAGGTCCTCAACCGAACGAAGGCTTGAAGGACATCTTGAACAATGGTCATGTTTAGCCATGAAAACGATTGATCACAGCAATTGAACACATACATTGTCCAATATTGTTGGGGTCCCAAATTTTGACGTAACACCCCCTTTTTCAATAAATAAGCAAATGTTTTTTTTGGTGGAACACATTTCCCATGGTGGGGTCCCCCCATGGAGGTTCTCCTCCGAGCGCATGTGCACTTCGGCAATGGGCAGCAGCTGAGGCTCAGTATCACCAGCCAAGGCATGAGTGATGACCTTGCCGTGGCGGATGGTACCGATGCTTGGAAGCGATGGTTGGAAGAGGTTCCTGAAGTGATCTAAATTTGATGCTTCCACCGCGCTCAAAACCACAAGAAACCAACAAATCAAGTCAGAAATATGACAAAACCATCGAAATCTCCTGTTTGTTTTGCACAGTGGGCCCAGAATTCAACATTCAACTAATATTTTTGACACGCATGGGTTTATCTGTAACTTGGGAAAAACCACTTTACAGTAAATCCATCTGTAACTTGGGAAAAACCACTTTACAGATCTTTACAGTAAATCCATCAGTGAATCATCATTCTCCATCATTTCCCCTATGACACTTGCCCATGTGCCTTACAGTATGTGTCAATGAATATGTACCTTAAATTACCATTTAGCATGGTGAAAACTAACATAGATGTGGAAAACCAGTGGTTTTCCTTAGGCAGGAACATCGACATGATGAGATATGGTGGGGTTTCACATCTGTCATTTTACAGGTTTTCCAATGATTATCCCATGGAAAATGTCTCACATTTCACCGAGTCACGGTCCAGTTGTTGCTTTCCATGGCCCAATGGCTTAGCGCCACCACCTGCTGTGCTGTGGAGGGACTCAAACCTTTCACCTGGGCACAGAAACTCTTTTTTGCCGCTGGATGGGAAGGGAAACCATGGTTCTACCTACAAATCTAATGGTTTTTGCTTATGAACAACTCCCATTTGGGGGTGGAAACATAGAACCACAACAAAAATGTGATTTTGAGGATGGTTTGTGGCATTGGGTTTACCACATTAGAGGTGTCCTGTAAATTGTCCTATCATCTGATTCATGGATTTGATTCCAAGTCTTTGATGAATGTTGTCCCATGGTTTTGCAGTCGTGTATTCTGTGTTTAAGGCTTAAGAACATCACTGGATTGGTTTTGTTGGGAAAATCTACAGGAAACCATGGTTTTTACCATCAAATATAGGGCTTTCCTGTAAATTTTCCCATCATCCAATTCTATGAAACATACACATTCAGATCAAGGTGTCAAACAACAACTTCAATGGCAAAACTGGTCGCCTCTTAGCTGTGGAAACCACTGCCGTCGTTGCCAAATGACCAAATTCTCAAAGCTGCTGAGCTCCGAGCACTCTCCAGCTGCCACTGCCTGCAAAGCCCGAGGCTTGAGGTCCCAAACACCAGAAGTGATGTGATTTGACATGATTTATATATATATATATAACCATATTTTCACCCACAAAAATGGGGCTTAACCCAATAGTCATGTGTTTTTTGTGATGTTTGATCTTGATTTGTTGATTGAATCCTCAGTTTTGGCGGTGAAACAACATGCATTGAATATGTCCAAACATGGAGGGTACCCATTTCAGAAGTTGTTGTTTCAATACTGGGAAAAGCCTAAGTTTGGGGTGACCTTTTTCCAGAAAACAGCCATCTGAATATTATACAACATTGACATTAAAATTCGCTGAGACTCTAAAATGCACCTGTCTTTCAAGCCCACAAAGGCATCATTCAAGAAGCAACAAGTTTACAGTGGATGTAATTAATAATCAATACAATTAATAATTAAGTTTGATGGGACTATAAACCACTGGAGCTGCCGGAGGGGGGCCCTTGCTGTACAGTTTGTGTGCCCACTTGGAGGATATCAGACCAAACTAACTGGGAGCTTTTCCAGCAAGCCATAATGATGATTACCAGAGGCAATTCCATTACTGTAAAATCACCATTCATCACCATTCATCACCATTATCAAACATTATATAACCATTATCAAACAATTATATAACCATTTATTATCTATAACTCTATAGTTTACCCCAGTTGCCATTGGTAGAATGATCCTTTCCTGTAACGGCCTTGAGAACGGCATCTCCATCCGTGAAAATTTCCTGCCACGGCTTGAGCTTCCGCACTGCATCTTCCGCGAGATGGCATCCTGCACGGCGATCGCCTCGGCTGATCTACACATGAGTACAATGGGTTCAATGGTGATTAATGGGGATTAATGATGATTTACCATCTGGCTATGACTAACAGTTCGCCATGGAAAATCACCATCTTTAATAGGTGAACCATCTATTTCTATGGGCCATGGCTTCCATGGCTATGTTAAATAGCCAGAGGGTATTATTTACTGGAAGCTCTTGAGTTATACAATGTTATATGCAATTATTGAATGGATATCTTGAGCAAAACTGTTAACTGCAAGGCTTACTTGAGAACAATTACATCCAGATCATCCAGAAAGTACATAACTGGGTACTAGCCCACAAAGAACTAAGATCTGTACTTTGGGGATGTCCACTGATAATCTATAACATTGGCCCAGGGGGATCCCCCATTTGAGGCTTTGGACTTGGGATGGCACCAGAAAAAATCCACTTTCGCATCATATCCTCCAATAGGGCCAACATGGCCACAAGTGACAGTAGCCTCAGACAAAGCCAAACATCAAGTTGTTGCTTATATAACTTATATCACATATTAAACACAGGAAAGATATTCCAAAGATATCAAACAAACATTTAAAAAACACCACCATGGTGGCAGTCCTCTGGGCTCTCCAAACGGTTTGGGGCATCTGTCGCTTGGCGAACTGCAAACAACCGCGCGCAGCGCGAACCTGGTGGAAGACTTGATGATCCATCGTCAGTGGTGAATAGTGGTGATTCATAGGGGAGATCGGGAGATTTTGATGGAGATGTGGTTGATATACCATCAACAATATATATATATATGAACATGATGTATATATACTTTAGGAGTTATACTCGCAACAATCTATGAAAATGATTGAACATGATGCTTTAAACAATTGCACCTAGACTTGGATGATAAGAGAATTTGCAGGAAACCTCTTTTCAAAACCACGGTGAAACCTGTAGATTCATTGCCTGACATCAATCCATGAGCTATAAATCTACAGCTGTTCCAATATGGAGAACACGGGGAACCATTACTGAGCATGCGATGAGCATAGAAAACATGAGTCAGCGCCAGAACTCTGAGATAGAAAATGGCGCCTCTCTTTCGGTGGCCCCCTCGATTTCAGGCAAAGCGGTTCCAAAGGCTGCTGGGCCTGTCGGGAGCCATGCTTTTCAACCTAAATATCAAAAATTGATGGTTCAGCATTATGTATATTGATTAATGGCTATATAAATGGTCATAACTTAATAGCTACTTAATAACTCAATTAACTAATTACAGAATAGTATAGAATATACAGGCATGAGCGTGAGCGTGTGCCACCAATGTAATTAGATTATATCTGATGATGTAAGAATAACATGACCGTAATAATGGCAAACAAATCAAACAATACTATTGTATATATATATATTATATACAATAAAATAATATATATATATATATATATGTATGTATGTATGTATGTAATTCATTGATATCTCTGCCATTCTCTGCCGGTCAGAACAATAAGAATCACCCGCCAGCCATGGCTTATTGTCCGTTGTGGCACCCAGGGAACGTCCTGGGGTTACCACAATAGCTGGATGGTTTGTAATGGAAAATCCTATTAAAATGGATGATTAAGGGGTACCCCCCTTTTAGGAAACCTCCAAATATCTACGATTGGGCAATATAAACACCATGATTGTGGATATTTACTACCACTATCTACCATTGTTTACCCCCTGGTAAATTAACATGGCTAGTTGAAACATCACCGTTTTTAAGAGGTAAACCAACTATCCATGGACATTTTCAATGACCGGCCTCCCAGAGTCAGCGGCAGCAAATCCGCGTGAAGCGCCTAAAAAACCATGAAATCATGCACCACAGAGACCCACAGAAAAGACTTCTTTTTTTCAGGACACTATTATTCCAATATATTCCAATTTACAGCAATATAATTTTTCACTACATCTGTACATCTTCAGATCCATCAGGTGTCACAAGATCCCAGCCTGCCGTCTTTCACCAGCTAGGCTTCCTTCCAAAATGTCTCGCACCTCGCAAGTCATGACTGATCAGAACATGTACATATTCTTTGGCTCCTTGCAACTCGATACCGAAACAACAACACTCTGATACCGAAACAAACATATACAAAAACATCACTGGTTGGTGGTTTCAACCTCTCTGAAAAATATTAGTCAGTTGGGATGATTATTCCCAACATGTGGAAAAATAAAAAATGTTCCAAACCACCCCAACCAGATCATATTTGTGGATTTCTTGGATCTGACCCATGTAGCACGAAAAACAGACATGCTGCAACTTGGCCGAACGAATGCCTTCTGGGGATGATTCGCCAAAAAAAACGATCATTCCAGTGTCGTCAGAACGTGAGGTCATTATACTTCATTCAGATTACGGTATATTCCATACTATCCCCATTATATCCATCATATTTCCAGCAACATCCCATTATGTGCCACTATTATATCCATCATATTCCATGAATATCCCACTATACCCCAATTATACCCCATAATAATCCCATGATAATTCCGTATCCCATAAGAAGAAAACAACCACAATCAATCATCATATTTATACAATAATGATTTTGATACGTGTTCTGATTTTGAACATATTTAATGATGATTACCCTCTTGCAAACTTGCATAGCGATTGAAATTGGCCATTTATAGTTGATTTACCCATTAACAAATGGCGATTTTCCATAGCTATGTTAGTTTACCAGAGAGTAACGATTTTAATTATAATGATCACAGTACCCTCTGGTAAACTAACGTAACTATGGAAAATCACCATTTGTTAATGGGAAAATCCACTATAAATGGCCATTTTCAATAGCTATTTTGACATAACCAGAGGGTATAATGATCACAGTATCCCATTCTAATTGCACCACCGCGGTTTCATCCTGGGACCCGGGCTGCAGGTGACAGCTGCGACCAGCTTTCATCTGGCCAGTGGACAGAGGAAGCGGCCACGACTTCCTGCCGTGCGGTCCAAAAGACCTGGGTTCCCAGAGCGATGACCGTTTTGGAGTGAGATCATGCGATATCTACCGAATTCTATCATATGTACCATGTTATTTTGAAGCAACAAAATACATATGCATTAAATAAAATAAATAAAGAAATAAATTATATTGTACATTGTCGGGGATGTCAAGGCTATCGAACAGTAGGATTATTTGGGTCAATCATTGGTCTGGTTGGAAGGAAAACGCCAAGGAAACCGTGCAAACCCTATCTTGGATGGAAGAAAACACATGGCTTCCTGCAGGTTGTCCCTCGGATCATTTCAATAATTCAAAATTAGCACCACCCAAATTTCACATAGAATGATATGGAACCCCAACATACTGCAATATCCAACAGGAAAACCATATGGAACATAAACACATTTGGTACGTAAGGCCCAAATTAATCACAGACTTGGGCATTATTTTGTGTATTGACCTGACCATCCATTGTAGGGTGCCTCAATCTTGACGCACGTCTGCATATAGTCTCTGGATGTACCATGGGCATTGATCAATGGGAATGTCAACTGAAACATCTTTGAACTAAACATCACATGGTTTATGATGATACATCCCATTCTGTTCCCATGAATTATATGCCTATGAAATCACCCTGTATGGATATGTTCTTTAAAAAAAGGCATCTCTGAGAGAAAAAACACCGAAGAATCCAGTAAAAACTTGACTATCTAAGATGCCCACTGGCCAGGTCTGCACCATTGGCAGTCGAGGCACCCAAGCCTGCGAGATCAAGGTAGGATGAATACATCCCAATCAAACACCCTGATAGGAAGTGGTGGATCTGTTCATTATTGCTGCTATTGCTATAACTTTGGGTTCAAATGATAAGGATGTTAAGGAGGGATTATTGTAATTAATTTGGTTTAGGGAACGAATGAAGTGGATCTTAAGATTTTGTTTTGAGTTCAGTCGTCCCTGCATCCCTTTCGCAGGCCTCTCGCCCGGCATCACGGGTAGTTGCCTCACATCAGGCGACCAAAGGCAGCAAGGGAAAGCCACCAAATTTCACAGGGTACTGCCACTCAGTCATTCAAAAAATGCTGGACTGTCCAATAATCCCATCCCCCTAATACTAAACAGCCCCATTCCATGGTCCCAAATACGTGATTTCATCCCGGCTCCAGGCCTGAAGAGCACCCGGTTGAACTTGACCCTTAGGCCTGGGCGAGATTTTCAGGCCACCTATGGTCACCTTAATGATTGACTCAAGATCAAGATCAAAATCTTTGATGTGCTTGTGTCGGAAAAAATGGTGGATGCCCAAAACTGATCATGACATATTGATGGATAAACCATCAACATGTCAAGGGGTGAGAGAGATCCATATGTTCTCTTCATGCAACTAGACCCTCCACGTACCTCCAGGTACCTCCAGGCACCCACCTCTTTGACCCATCTTGATGGATACTTGGAGGGTATAGGTACTTTATAATAGCCATAAACCATGGTAAATCATAGTTAACTATAGTTTATTAACATTTATTGATTAACCATAGTAAGTGGCCATAAACTATAGTAGTGTGGCTAAAACAATGCCATGTTTACCATCCCCCAGTCATCAACATTCACCATATATATATATATATATATATATATAGGTGGAATCAACCATTCCCAGCCATGGGTGGTTTATGGCATTGTTTTACCCACATTCCCAGTTCCAGCTGGTTCCTCACTGCACCCACCCTTCGCCTTGGACCAACCGTGGTTGGAGTCGAAGCCGGCACGCCGTTGGCACACTCCATGGGGCTGGCCTCGCCATGAGCGAAGGCCTACCTCGGTGGTCCTTGGTTTCAACCTGTTGAAATGGGAAAAGTGTGGGAACATGCGGGGAAAACTACTATAATTTTTAAACGGAGGTTCTAGGTTCTAAGTTCTAATGGGAAAATATGGGAACATCTATACATGCGGGATTTGATCGCAAAATCAACTATACATATGGTGTTTTTAATGGGAAAATTGCCAATACATGGAGATTTATAGCAGCCAGGAAAATAATGGAAGATCATCTATAAACATGTCTTTTTCAAGAAAACTCTAGATTTGCAAAATTCCCATGATCCAATGTGACTATGCCAGCCATATCTCAACTGGCCAGCCATATCTGCCAGCTTTCTGACACCGGGAGCCAGACCCAAAGTCCCAGCGCCGCCAGTAACTTCACCGCCATCGCCGCCGGCTTCTCTTGGATCCGTAGGGCCGACTGGAGCGATGGCATGGCGCGACTTGGCTCCTTGCTAACTGATCTGGTTGGTGGTTGACCTACCCCTCTGAAAAATATGAGTTCGTCAATGGGAAGGATGACATCCGATATATGAAATGGAAAATAAAAAATATTTGAAACCACCAACTAGTATAATAAGCAATAAATAAAATAATCAATAGAACATCACCATTTAATAGGTCAGCAATAATTAAGATAATCATCTATAGAATTTAGGTAAGGACCAAATAAGTAATAATCAATCATCTATAAACTTGGCCTAAATATTGTGAAATCAACAGAGGCCAACTAAGTCCCTCTAAAAATCGGCCTGGACTGGTTGGACATGTTCATGTCAACATCACTTGCCTATGGGCCAAATTTGTGGAGGTTATATACTAATGACAAGCCAATTTTATGAAAAAACGTGATGGATAGTTACCGCGAAATGGGAAGACCATCAGAAAACCACACTTCACATGTATGGCCTCCAGTTGCTTTCTTCGCAGCTCCAGCATTCTTGCATCAATCTGACCTTCATGCGACCAAGAAAAGGATTCAGCTTGATTCAACATATTCAACCCAGAATTCATTGCATGATAAAATATGATAAAATTATAAAATTACGGGACCCCCTCCATATTTGGGGAAAAACCTTGGGGGTTCCTTTAAGATTTTCCTCAAATCCATAGGGGAATTGCTGAGCCGTGGGCGCAGGGAGAGCCAAAGTGGATGCCAAACCGCTTTGCCGATCTGATCTGCCGCAATTGGGGCACAACCGAGCCACGACCTGAAGCTTGCCCGACTTGCCGCAAAAGGGGAGGGTGAATCACTGACCCAAAGAACAAGCGGTTCCCAAGTATGTATGGCACCGCCAAAGATACCGTAGGACATGATAGGACGGACAAATTTGTTTTGTAGAGTTTTCATGGTTGATTTGTAGAGTCTTGGTCATTCCCTGTTCCATACATACTGCTTTTTGGGTCCTGCGTGTTCCATACATCTGTTTTCTTGCGCCCTGTAATACCTGCAGCAAAGCTGAGTCCTTCACGTCAGGAAGTCCGCCGGGAGTATCTCCACAAACGATGGAGGCACCCATACGACTTCCTACCGCTGAATCCAAATGGACAGCACCACTGGGTGCAGGAGATACAAAGGGGTGAATCAATCAGGGCGAAGGTCAATGCCTGTTCCCCTCCATGTCTTCTACTGCTTTATTTTGGATCATTCTCCGGATCGCCATGGACCTTACTGTTAATTCACATACTAGTAGACACGGAAGATCCACAATTTCTACATCTGTTAATGAACAGTAGGCAAACATTGATGCTTCAAATTGCCATGCAACATCCAAGAATCCGCCCAAAATCCTCCCGATCTGTTAGATCTCCAGATTTTTGAAGTTTCAACTGCTCCGAAAAAATCCACATCCACCAGGCCCCAACTTTCCGCGGCTCACCTGAGCACGAAGGAACTGCACCTGGCCATCCGGTTTCAAGGCTGGCACCAAATTTTCGACCTCGAGGTGGCAAAAACTGATTGAAAGCAACCTGAGAGCGCCTCTGAAAATGGAGGAGTTACACAGCAAATTGATCCAACTGCGACTTTGCACAGGGGACAATATGGGAATGATGATCAACCAATGGATTTAGGATGATTTCGGGGGTGAATTTTCAGAGCAATCCACATGTGGGAGACTAAGGCACTGGCCCGGATAGACATTTGAAGCGTATCCCAGGTCATGTCCTTCGCATGGAGACTGATGAGTCCGACTTTAAATAGATGTTACTTCTGGTTGGTGGTTGACCTACCCCTCTGAAAAATATGAGTTCGTCAGTTGGGATGATGAAATTCCCAATCTATGGAAAAGTGGAAAATAAAAAACTGTTCCAAACCACCAAGCAGTACTTCCTTTTCAAGCAGCATGGCACCCCTGGTTCTTCACACCCGATCATATTCCCAAATGGGTCCATTAAAAAAAAAACTATAAATCGCTATCCTATGAATCATGGGTAAATATGGAATATATACCCTTCTGTAAACAAATAGCCATAATCTATCATAGATATGGCAACAAAACATGAAACACATTGAAAAACACCATGTCTAGATATTTCACCAGAGATGTTCCATAGGTTTCACCATGACAACCTTGGCAACTCGCTGGATTCACCGTTTCACCATCAGAATCGCCCCGTGGCAACCTGGTTCAAGACTTTGCTTGCCAAAGCTCCAGCTTTGGAAGCTTCCTGCGTCAAGTTTTAAACCACCCAATGTGGATATTCAAAGCCTATTTATGGTTTATTATGATATATATATATATTATCATTATATATCATGATATATTATGGTATATGAACTGATATTAACTATGACCATCTATGAGCCAGCTTCCGGAGAGCTAAATGGTGGTCAGTAGACCAGCTCCAGGGATCAAAAACTGGAACCTGGAACTGTTTCCTCTAGTAATCAAGAATGGCTACATATATAGCTGGAAATGCCATGTAGTCAGAGGATCTTCCTTTCTAGGTCCATACATTGCATATGTATGCATATGTTTCATTGCCAGGTTAAAATCATGTTTCAGATTGCCGGGTAGAACAAGGGGCTGATACTTTTGATTCCGGTTTGATTGTACCTAATGGCTCGACCATCTCGACCACTCCCCCAGTCTGTCCATGTCTGGCAGAATATCGTAGGCCTGCGGTTCCGCCGGTTGCTTTGTGACAAGGCACTATGTCAGATTATGTCAGGCCCCCATGATTCTCACATTGACGGTCTCAAACAGCATTGCAACTAATATTGGGAAGGGCTCCATTGGTCCATCAGCCACTGATCGCTTTTTGCCGCAGCTTCGGTGCACACAACACTTTAGCCGCACAGATCGCAATGCTACTTGCCAAACAGCAACATGTTTGAAATATTGGTGACAGTTTGGGTGAAAAAGACATGGTTGCCAGGTGGCCATACCATTTGGCGCTGCATACATATTCAAACACGTATATACATAAATATTTACATATACTAGTACATATAAAGTATATATATATATATACACATTATATATAATTATATTATATACACATATTACAGTACATATATATATAATATATATATATATATTCTGTATCTTTCAAACCTGAAAGTCAGCATGATCCACGCCAATCATCCAACGCGAAATTAAGCGAAATTGCTAAGCTGCTAAGCTGAGCCGCTAAGCATTGCTCAGCGCAGAGTGGGGCTGGAACTTTGCAGCCCTGAGGAAATATCACCAGTATCCAGAAATTGAACTTTCACCAGCAAACCGCACCGAGGGATGCTATGACCCTGGGGATTCTGCAGGGCCAACCAACGATAGCCCTCTCTGACCGCGTCAAGATTCAGGGCGCTGCTCGCCATGGCTCTTCCTTTATCGAAGACCTGAGTCTGTGCGGAAACTCTTGGACGTTGGAAGGCCTTATATAGATCCTAAAATCACCTGAAATCGCAACACACCTAGAAGTTTAAATCGATCTTGCATCACCGCACACAAAACAAGATCAACGCACGCTTGTTCATTATATTGATATCTTCAAGTATCTACTCAAACCTTTATTTTGCAACCAAGGCGCTTCAAAAGTCAGGATATGCAAGGCGCTGTCCGAAATCTCCAGCACCACTGAATGGTTGAAGACTGGGTGGTAGCCGTCCTGCTGGACGGCAGGGGTCTGTGAGACCTGGCCCCCAGGGTGCAATGCCACTGAGACCATGGGAGAACTCACCTCAGCTGTTCCGGGTTCATCGGGACGTGGTAGCCGATGGCCACAACAAATCCGCAGCCAGAGTTTGGTGGCACTTCGAATGCTGGGGATGAATGATGGCTTCAGAACATAGCCACAACTGCCATTGTAGTGTCGGAAGAGTCCCTGATTCAGCAAGAGACCTGTATCAGAAGTTTGGTAGTTCAAGGCTACCATCTGGACACCCGAAAGCCACATGGGAATGGGATCCACATTGCCGGAGCTGATGCGGGTACCTTCGGGATAGACTCTGGACAAGTGTTCAGATGTCCAAGAACAAAGGAGATCTTGACCAATGCTCTTCTCCAACTTCTGCACCTTAGCTGCAGTTCCTGACGCCACAAACCAGGGATAAACAGCTTCATGCGAGGTGGGTGAACGGGGTGAAGCTGCAGGTGAGCCATCACCATCAATGACCTCTCTCTCCACCAATTTCTGCAACAACTTGCGCGTGGGAAGTGCCACGCATCGGTCATACACCGGCAAGGGCCGCCGGCAGCGTTCGCAACATCCCAGGGATGATTTCACAAGGAAGCGATGCCGGGCGGACCAGGGAGAAAGATCGAACCAGTGGGACGGATCAATTTGTTGCCGCTGTTCATCCTTGATGTGCTTCGCTCCCGAAAAATCCGATTTAGTGATTGCCCTGGATGTCTCAGAAAATCTATGAGTGCCCCGAACCGCTCCGAACCGCTCCCTCCCACTGCATCGAACATAACAACTTTCCCAAAAAATGCACAGCTACCCTCTGGTAAACTAACATAACTATGGAAAATCACCATGTTTAATGGGAAAACTCACTATAAATGGCCATTTTCAATAGCTATGTTAAATTACCAGAGGCTAAATATAGCCAGGTCGTCCCAGGGCGGCCTCAACAGCTGATCCCCCAGCACTTCCGACATGATCTGCGCCTGTCGCACGCGTTGCAGGGCGCAGCAGTGCTGCTCAATGGAAATGATCACCGGGTACTCCGAGGCCACAAAGGCGTGATCCGCTATCGCTTGGATCACATCCTGCACCCCGATGGCTGGAAAATATCTGATAGATAGGGGTTTTAATATGTTTCAATGGGAAATCGACTATAAATGATTTAAATATATTTAAACAATTGATTTTCTGACATTGTCTGTTGTCACATTTGATTACCAGAGGGCAACCATAAGGTTTATGATTAGAACATATTAGAACTATATAGTAATTATACTGTAATCGGATTGGTAGGAAACCAACTTTTATCCAGGGATCTCCATCTTAATATGTTGAACCCTCTCGACTGGTCACTGAACAATGCCTCTAAACCCAACGTGAAGATATTGATGACCATGGATCTCAAATACCACTTGACATATCCGGGGATTTTTCACTGCGACTGAGGACACTCCGTCTTTATTTACGCTCTCTGCGGACCGTCCAGTTGTCCGCCTGAAATAGGCGGTGGTATCACCAAATGAAAGTCAATCAAAGTGAATATCATGAATGTTGGGGACAAACTTGATATGTACTGTGAATTTGCATTATTCAAAGATCAACATGATTCTTGGCCAAAAACACGAAGCGCAATTATATATGCCCAAAAAAACTATGGAACTTTACCATTAATCCCCTTCAACATCCTTCAACCACCTTTCATCCCCATAGTATTAGTAATCCTCAATTCTTCAATGAATTTTCCATGATTCAAATGCCATCCAACTGCCGGAAGAAACCTCCAGCGCCGTCCCTACTCCCGGCCTGGAACAGGATCTCGGTGGTCACGGTATAGCCATGCTTCACCACGGGTTCCCCATCAGCGCCGTCCCAAACATCCACCTCCACCGAGCGGCAGCCCGCGCGTAGGACCTCCACGTAGCGGAGGACGCTGGAGCGGCTGCTCAGTTGATTGCCTGTCAGGGTTTTTTTCGAGAAAAAGGCTCACGTCATGGTGATGAAATTGGTGATTTCAAATTTCTGGGGATTTCATCGTGATAATGGTGTTTTTCTTGGTGATTTCTTGGGATTTAACGGTGATTTACGGGGGATATCAGGGGAATGTCACCAACATAAACCAACAATATTGATCCCTGCCTATCATCCTATCAGAGTTTACTCATATGATGCGAGGTGAAATTCATCGGAGTTCACCAAGTAAAATGGTGATATAATGGTGGCATATGCGGGATCACATATGATATAGACATGTGACATATAAATTCTAGATATAAACCGTGGCAATGTAACAGTTTGCCATTGAAAATTGATAAGCATGGCACCTTTTGTTCAATGTTTTACCTATTCAAACTGCTGATTTTATATAGCTACGTTAAATTACCACGGGGTAGGTGTCTGTTCAAGTAAATATAATGTGAATTTACGATGTGGATAGAAATGGATGGTAAAGATGCTATTTACTTAGCTAAGGCGTTTTATGCATAGGTTATACAAATGGTTCTTTTATTGAATCGGACTAGCTCATGTTTTTGTTTTGAAAAAACAACAACTTCTAACTGCAGGGACCGCCTTGCACATGTTGAGCCCCAAGATATATGTTATGTATTCGGCAAACATGCAGTGTGAATACGGTGTGTGCATAAGAAACTATGGTATAGAATTCTATGAATAAACTGGAAATTCAAAGTCAAACTTGTGGGTGTTGACATAATCAAATACAATACTCTTCCAAATCCAGCCTTCCAGGTAGGTGTTGTGGGAGGTATCGACAAAATAGGCGAAGAGTGGCCTTCGGCTAAGTTTTGATCGGTGTTGCCAAATCGAATAAAATCAACATATCGCATAAATCTATGTAAATCAAACACATATATACATATATATATAATTAATTATAATTAATTATATATATAATATGTTGTGTCAACTTGTATCATCCTCCCATACCATCACGGTCTTTCCATTTCCAAGGGATAAAAATGATAAACAATGACACAAAAAGAGAGAGAGCCCAGCGGCTGCGTCATGTCTTGGAACAACGACCTCTTGGCCGGATCTGCCAGGGCATTCCCCGGAGAGCACAGCAGCTGAGCGAAGGCCTCAAGGGACAAACTCTGCTCCTTCGCCAACGGCGTTGGCAGGCGCAACAGCAAACGTTGCACCTGTTGACGCCACGTTGGTGTTCAAAAGCCAGGAAGACAGGAGATATCATGGGGGGTATGATATTGATGAAATTTACTGGGATAGAAGGGGAGTATCACCGCCATTCACCAACCATCTTGGGTCCCTATCAAGGTTTCTTCATATTGTTGCTTACAATCCCCTATAACATGATTATGGGGCATGGGATGAATATTCATATTTGGGGGATTACCCTCCATCAAACGTGGCAATTGGAAATCCACTGGAAGATAGGGGAAAACTTAAGGGAGAATACAACTAAACGGAGCAGTTTCGGTTGCCATGTTTGACTACTGAAGGGTAATCACCATTAATCACCATTAATCACCATTAATCACCATTAATCACCATTAATCACTATTAATCACCAGGTCAACTGTTCTCACCTGTTGGAGAGATGGTGGGGGCCAGACTCGCTGCACATGCGTGAAGAAGCGAGCTAAGCTGTCCACTCCGATGTGCTCCTGCCCGAACTTGTTGCCTAAGCCAGGAGTTTCCACGCCAAAAAATGTGCGCAAAATGATGCTTCCCCTCCAGTAAACTAACAGTTTGACCCTTGAAAGTAGCCAGTTTTTAGTGGAAACTAATCTTCCAACCCCCTAGTTGGAAGGTCTATGTTACTTGGAGGGATGACACTACTAGTAGTACTATTACTAGCAAGTCCCTAAAAAAATACACGTAAAATATGGTTTTTTAATCCAAATCCTATTAAGGTGCGTAGTGTTAGTGGCATAAATATATATGTTCTATCTTTTTGGAGGTAATGATGATATCTACTAGCTGGCTTCAACCTCCAAATGAGGATCATCAACCCAGGTAACATTGGGCACTTAAGTCGACCAGTTGGGTGTCTCCTAACATACCGATGATACATGATGATACATGGATGGTTGCGAAATCCTGCACCAAAAGGATGGTTGAAACCTTATAAATAATGGGAAAAACATGGAAAAACTAAGAGTCAACTGGTGCAGGATTTCGCTGGCCCATCCACAGTATGGGAACTGAGGTCATCAACATCCAACCACAGGTGCTGAGTGCTAACTCCTCATCATTGTTACTCCCAATCGAGGCGGAGCGTTGCCAGTCACAGAGGTCCATGCGCACTGCACGATAGACTGCCTGCACCAACAAGTGCAGAAATGTGTTGTGCATATACCATAAGGGGAAAGTGGACAACAATAATAAGGATTGGGACTCAAAACAAAGCCGCAAGACTACAAGAATAAAGGTTGATTGGAGGGATGAAACTGAAGGTTTTGACTATTGCAGTCAACCTCAAGACTTTGCCTATCGCAGCAAACAATCCCCTATTGCACCAAAAATGGGTGGTGTAAAGTAGATTTATTGTGATAGTTGAATACAGTATTCTAGTCTATTCTTGGCTTTACCACATTCACTTTACAATTTTTACATTATATATTATTAATATATAACTTTATATATACAATATATAAATATATAAAATAAATATATAACCGTAACCACTTCTTTCACCCGGCCTTCACATGCTTATCATCCACCAATGTCAACATCTTGGCCCAGTCTTGCAGGTTCACCACGCGTCCACCTCCAATCTGTCGGCCTCCACCTGCCCGACGTCCTTGTTTCTCCTGCCGCAGAACAGCGGACAGGACATGTTGCCCTTCCTTGGACGTTGCGTTGCGGGCAGCCATTTACCAAAAAAAACCAGGAGCCCCAATGGATTCGCAGTTTCTGGTGGATTGATGAACCTTAGCTGGAAAATAACGTACAATATATGTTCAGCTTTTGGCGGTTACTAATCCCTTCTTCCTATTAACTAAAACTCCCCCAAATAAAGGATTGATGTGGCACTTCCGGTTTTTTCCCCGACAGCATAAGCTAATGGGGTCGTCAGCCCAGAATAGCTCCGGTGTGCACTGGTGCAGGCGCCGGGTCAGGTCCAACGAGGTTCCAGAGAAAGTTCCGAATGTTCTGGAGAAGGTCTGGGAGGCTTTGGTGCAAAGCCAGGTCACCTTCAACGAGGCTTCGGTGCAGAGCCGGGTCAGGTTCAAAAGGGTTTCGGAGAAGGTTCCGGAGAAGGTCTGGGAAGCTTTGATGCAAAGCCAGGTCAGGTTCAACAGGGTTCCGAAGAAGGTTCCGGAGAAGGTCTCGGGGCAAGAGCCAGGTCAGGTTCAACAGGGTTCCGGAAAAGGTTCCGGAGAAGGTCAGAAGCTGAGAAGGTCTGGGAGGCTTCGGTGCAGAGCCAGGTCAGGTTCAACAGGGTTCCGGAGAAGGTTCCGGAGAAGGTCTGGGAGGCTTTGGTGCAGAGCCAGTTCAGGTTCAACAGGATTTGTGCCCGTTTAATTCACGGAAACCCAGCTGAGGTGTTTCCAGCGCTTGGCTTTTCAGCACGCTTCAGAACGATTTGTAAAAATAAAACATTGCGGCTGTTGGGTATACCACAGAACCTTATTTTGGTTGGGCACAATTGGATTCTTAATTGTGGTAATTGAGAATCAATAGGAGAACAGGATGGTGAAACAATGGGTTCAACCCCCCATTAATAAACATAGATTGCCACTTGGAGGTTTTTCATTAGGTCCCCATCTCGCAAATTTTATTTTCTATTTTCATTATTAAGGTGTTCATTGGAATATTGGGGGAAAGCTTCGAAATCCAGTTTTTGGCACTATTTTACTTTAAGAAGGGTTCATCAAATTCGAAATCATTTTTTCTATTTCCCCACCTGCCAGGTGAGGGTTGTTAGATTTTATGTCAGTTGCCTGCTCCTCCTCTCCTCTCCTCTCCTCCTCATCTCCTCTCCTCCTCCTCCGCCTCGTCGTCCTCCTCGTCCTCCTCGTCCAACTGCGACCCGCGATCCACAGTGTTCTCTGTCGGACCTCAACCACGACCATCCATGCTCAGTGTTCCCTGCCGGACCTCAACCGCGAGTATCCATGCCAAGTGTTCCCTGCCGGACCTCAACCATGACCATCCACGCCCAGTGTTCCCTGCCGGACCTCAACCACGAGCATCCACGCCCAGTGTTCCCTGCCGGACCTCAACCACGACCATCCACGCCCAGTGTTCCCTGCCGGACCTCAACCGCGAGTATCCATGCCAAGTGTTCCCTGCCGGACCTCATGTAGGAAGATATGGGACAAAGTATGTGCAGAAGAAAGTTAGAAAGAATGTCAGACAAGTATGTGATATATTACTTGCGAACTTGCAGGTGTGTGGTAGTGTGATCGGGGCAATGCCACTTCTTACTTTGCGGGTGGCAAAGTTTGAAGCAATCAGTTTGAACAGATGACAGAGTCACTGGGGTGGACAGAGACATTTCCATGGGCAAAAGTCCCGTGACAAAAGCTTCAGACAAAAGTGGTGTCAACAAGCTGTTTTGAAATGTCATGGTGGGGATCACTCGAAGCAAAGTAATTTTATTATTAAGGTTTTCATTGGAATATTAAGGGTGTCCCAATACAAAATACCCCCAAACAAAAAATAGATCAGCGTGTGTACCATTTGGGGGGGTGTTTTAGTAACAGGGAGACAGGACTATCCCCACATTCTATCCACATCAACTCAAACTCCAGGCTTCCTGTGGATTGATGTTCAGCTCATGCCACAGCAGGTTGATGTGGTGCACCGGCAGCGAGCCCGTGCCATCGGCATCGATGAAGCCGAAGATCCATTTCAAGCGCCGCTTCTGCCACCGTCTCTCGGCCTGCTACTGTATCATCCCACTGATCGATAATGTGGTTAGTCAACCTAGAAAGTTCCCTACTAAGTGGGGTTAGCCCATGGATACATAGGTTACAACTTATAAAACTATAGTTACTCACCAGTGGCTGGGATGATCCTCCAAGTGAGGGTCTGGCCATCCAACGGATACATTTTTCGTGAGTTTGAATGGGAAGATGAGAGGAAACCAGGCCACATATGATTGATTAAATCGAGGAGTTTCCTGAGCATTTTCCTACCAAATCTGGGATATTCTGTCAGTCAAAGATGATTGAACATGGGATAAGTATTTATCATGACGCCAGCAACCATCCTGAAATATCCTGAAGAGATCAATCCGACTTTTAAAAATCCTAAAGACATGATAAGAAATGTCTATAAGAATTATAAGAGCAAATCTCAAAACCACACACATATAAATAAATCAATAAAATAAATAAATAAATATATATACAAATAAATAAATAAAAAATCAACAGTTTAATACACAAATAGATAAATAAATAAATAAATAAAACATAATTAATTAAATCGAATATATATATATATAGACATAATTATACATATAGATTATGAATGAAGCATTTTTACATCACCCAGGCCCTGCCTCAGGACCCAACAAATATGGCTCCAGCAATCCCAGGCGTGCGTGGCGCGAGGCGGCCAAGACAGGCTGAAGCCCCGCGGCCTCGAAGAAGTCGTCCAAGGAGCCCAGCACTGCCTTGGTTCGTCCAGTGATCCCTTCGCTGATCCCCGAGATTGGCAAACATGTTGGATGGCTAACATGGGATAAGGTTAAGGTTATCAAACAACACACATATATATATATACAATGTATACATATAATTTGTATAATGTAATGTGTATATATATATATGATATATATATATATATATATTCGTGTATAATATGCATGAAGACGTCATATTGAAATTGTTGTAATTATCATTTGAAAGTCAAAAGCAACAGCGTCTGAGTTACTGTACCCATCTAATTTCATAAAGCTGAACAGCTCAGTAAAAACCTATAGCTCTTTATGGTTGCAATCCAGCAGCTGCTCGGGATTCTGACGCACTGCGGGACAGGAAACCCGTCCCATCCATCCCATTCACTTCACCATCTGTGGAACTCACCGCCCTGGCTTCGCGCGTGTCTTCCACATTGGCTTCGACGTAACCCGCCGCCACCTCCAGCGCAGTGGCCCACAAAACGGCTTGGCGCCGGCTGGGGGCCGTGAATCTCAAGGCCTCGCCGTCGGCTTCCACAATAAAGCCCCGGGACTCGTTGGGCTCAGCTTCCATTTTGATGTGTGACCCACAAGACCTTGGAGTTCCATGGGGTTCCTCTCTTTATGCGTTCCGCCCCAAAAAAGGCTTGTTGGTAGATTCACTCCACATCTGGTTCATTCAACGAACACATAATACAGTAATTACATGTTATATAATGACTCTGAAAACCCACCCAAAAATCTTATTAAACACATCATCCATCTGAAAATAGACTTAAGCAAACTAACAATAGAAAATATATGCATATCAGCATCCAGGAGACATGCAATACAAATCTCGTGGCCTGTGACAAACGATGGTCAAATAGACGCGTCGAATCTTGTAGCAGGCCACTGAACTGGTTGGACGACGGTTTCCTCCGAAGCTTCGGGCCATCTCTTGGAAGATCAAGGCCTTAGCCATGGCCACCATCCGGCCAGAACGGGGAGAAGCATCCGTTGAAATGCCATCCGGCAGCAGGTTAACACCATGTTTAAACCATGGCTAGACCAAGCCTGCTCTACTTTCAATGTGGTGATTCAGCCACCTATCCAGCAACATGCTGGTGAAATTTGGCCGACTTTGGTTAAAACCAAGAAACAACCGAGAAAAAAACTCATGTAAAAAAACATTAATTTAAAAACAACACTTGTTGGTATCGCTCCATTTCCGCTGGCAACATCCCCAGGTTTCAGGTGACATCATGTGAGAATCGCATTCTTCATTCTTCTTTGTTCAACACAGAATATTAGCTGGAGAAAAAACATGTCTTTTTAAGGCAGCAAAACCCTTTTTGTTCATGGATGAATCTGCAAAAATCCCGTATATAAATCAATGTTTGTTGTTGTCGTCATTCATTCATGTGCCGTCAAATTTGCACATCTGAAGAACACGCAGATATATTTCATATGGGTGGATGAATAGGACAGGGCTGGAATTTAGATTTCCCAAGTTTTTGAGGAAACTCGATTCATAGCTCTGCAGGCCTCCCCGTGGCTTCGGTTGGGAACAAAGCGGATATAGCGGCCCAACCGCTCGTTTCACCCTCCCAATCCATAGTAATAAACGGCAATAAATCAACAATCAATCAATTGTATATATACACACATATATATATATATACATATATATATATATACATATATATATATATATACACATATATATATAATTATATATATATATATATACCGCCATGTTCTTGGGCCGCCCAAAACAAAAACAGCGCCACTCTCCCAGAGATTTTCACAAAACAGAGGATGAAGAACCACCAAAAAAATCTGTGGTAAAACCGATGGTTTCCGGTCCAAGAGGCGTGTCGATCCATGTCCAGAAAGGCTTCCACCTCCTCCATCCGACTCCGCAAAAAACCCTGCCGAGCCACTGTGAGGTGCCCCCCACATCTCACCTCAGATGCCCTGGTGTGCAAGCTTGATAGGAGAATCATGATAGGGAATCAATGGAAAAACCATGGAAAACCAATGGAAGATCAATGGACATCATGGAAGATCAGTGGGAAAAGAAGGGAAAATCAATGGTCACCAGCTAGAAATGAAGTGTTGTTCTTTTTGCATAGTATCTAAGATTAGGCATGCCTGAGCTAGTCTGAGTCTGATGATGTCTGTCGGTCCAAGAAACACATTATCACAGTAGTGGTGAACAGTGCCTTAAATAAGTCCGTGTGGGTTTGATGCCTGGAATCTTTTCCGTGCGTGGTTTTGATGAAACATGGGCAGGTAAAAACCACCAACGCAGTACGAGTATAATTCAATATACGCATATATGCATGTGTATATATATATATGCTCACTATACATGTTCTGTTTTTGCCATCAAATACAGAAGAGGTCCACTAGCAAATGGGGGGTGGTGCCAACTGGCTCCAAAATAATACCACATACACAGATGCGTTGCGCGTGTATATATATATGCATACATATGCACACCTAATTATATATAGATAATATTTTATATAATTTATACTATTTATATATAATATATATATACATACATACACACACTATCTATATATATATATACACTATATATATATTTACATACATATTCTATATACATACACATAACTGAGCTATAAAAAAATAACTATAATGACATACCGCAAACAGGGGGCTGAGCAGGAACAACATAAAACTGGGGAGTTCACTTTCAAAGTTTTCCTCCCAAAGAGTGTGGCTGTGACCACAGCAACAAACATACCAACGAAAACGAAGGCAATAATGACAAGAACACTTGGTAGAGCCATCCATTCCGATTATTGTTGGGAATCACACAGCTGCCCAATTTGCCAACAAAAGGCCGCGAAATCAACGGCTTCATCCAATGTCACATCCCAGGAGTCTGTGTTGATGGATGGGTTGATAAATGTGGGACATGGGATTGTCCCACTGTCGATGCCCAAGCGCAAGCGTCGGGCAAATCGGGTCACACGGTCCTCGGGTTCACGAAAGGACTGCACCTTGCCACTAAAGGATGTCTTGAAGCGACGGGCATAGTAGGCAGGTGGCGCAGTATCAATTTCGTGAAGCCATCCTCGGACTTGTATGAATTTGGAATCTCTTTGGGTCCTTAAAGAAACTTAATTATACATTCCCCATCTTTCCCCATCTTTCTGGAAAATCGATGAAAATCGACATCAGCAACTCCAAGGATCCGAGGCTCAAAGACTTGATGGTGTGGGCGATGGCCTTGCGCAGGGTGAACTGCTGGAGGATGTCAATGATCGCAATGAAATACACCACCTTTTCAGCAGCGTCCGTTCTCAATAAGGTGCACTGGTACTTGGGCTCATAGCCTTTGAGCACTGCCAAGCACGAGGAAATGCCTTCATCCGACGTGATGCAATCAAGGTCAGGATAACTCCCGTCGCAGTAGTGCACCCCCAAACACAAGGAGTAATCCATCACGCGCAAACCACGCAGAAATTGGGAGTCTCTCTTGACTGCTTGCAGCAAGGCTGCTTTCTGCTTCAAATCTGGGATTCCAATGATCTTGTCCGCAAAATTCAAGTCCTTCAATACAACGCCTGGACGGGGGCTGACCCACCTATCTTCAGTGGTACCCTTCAAATCATAGACCACATCAGGCTGCAGTGTGTATGGGAAAGCATTGTTCATCACCACCAGTTGAACCCTCCGGCGACCCAGCTGCACTTCATACGCACCAAAGAAACGGCAAAGCAAGCTGTTGCGATTGGTGGTGAAGTGCTGTTCATAGCGCGGAAGGCATTGCAGCAGGGTTTTCATCTCCAAACGTTCCACAGTTTTCAGGACCAACAAACGATTCTGCGAGACCCAAAACAGGCTTCCACTCCTTGGAGGTTTTTTTGGGCCATTCCCCCCGAAAAAAAACCAAAACAGACAGTCCAGCCCCTATTGATCCCTATTGTATGTTGTGGATTAACCCATGGGAACATGGGTTCAAAACTCATCATGTCCAAGACTCTTTCCACTGGACTCCGGGCTTCCACCCCGCAACTCTTCAGCTAGGCTGGCCCAATAGAGATTCTCTTGCAAATTCCAGAGGCTTCGCAGCCGTCGAAAATGATCCGGTGCCAAACACTGCAGCTGACACTCCTCTCAGCAACAAGACCCCTTGGGGGACAAACCCCTCACCAAGGTGATCCCCCAAATAATAGGGGCTTATTAAGGGCTTACTTAATCTTACTTACCACCAACAACTAACACAAAAGGCGAAACTGCCCCATCTGCTTTTTTTTGGGGAGGTCACCGGTGCGTATTGGTTGAATCATGTTGACTCCCAATCATTTTGGGAGGTTACCCCGACTAAAATTTTGACTATTCCCCACTGCTCAGGCAGTCCTTGCCCGTCCGCATCTGTGCGACCAGACTGGTCTCAGGGCTATCTTTTGCTTCTCTGAAAGCACAGAAAATGGCCTCGGTAAGCTCTGCACACCTTGGTGGCCCACGTTTTTTCAGCACGAAAAGTTCAATCTCTGAGTGGGAAATGCGGCAAAAGACAAGACATCCAAGACCAGAAAACAACAACGTCTAAGTTATGTATAGTCTGTGTTTGTGGATTTCAGATCTGCAATTGATTTCATACACCTGACAACTAGACTATGCTACTCTCGCTCCATGTTCATCATCTTGCTGAAGACTATGCTAATTACTACTATATATTTCTACTTATAAGCTTATTATTAGCTTTCAATTGAGCATTAAAACTCAATTGTGTGACCAAAACAAATGACCCAAACATGACCCAAATACCGACTTTCAGCCACACTGGCTGGAGCTTTCTTAGCTTCCTTGGAGCTTTTCTTCCGCTCCATGCGAAAATCGGCAGCCAACAGGGCCGATCGGAAGTGACCGGGCCGATGAAAGCGGCGCCACCACAGGGTCAGCAAGATGGAGCATGTCAGCCTGGGTTGTGGGGGGCTGAGTCGCTGAGTCTCCTCCTAAAATGCATCCATCATCCATCCCTGAGGTAGAGATATGAAAACGTCACATGAGGGAAATCAACAACAATGGGGACATCATGGACATGTGATGCAAATATCGATGTTTTAGAGTTGACCAACACAAAAAGATGCTACATTGAAGTTGCAAATGCTCGCCGCATTTTGCGTGAGACAAAACATTGGGACAATGACTAACTGGTAGGGCCATCATCCCATTGATAGGGGTGGATCATATTGCGTCATCACCCCAGTGCTGGTTGGCAATATGCTACAGGAGTAAACCATCGACAGAATAGTTGAAACTTGAAAAAAATATAATGATCAATCTGAAAAACATGCATAAAAAAATCCAACATTGAGACCGCCATGCCATGCGGAATGTAGGAACGACTCTCACAATCTCAAACACATATTGGGCTTGTCTGAAAATGGTGTACTCCCAAATTTGATACTTCTATATAAGGTCTTCTAAGTTTCCCTATCAACATGACCACTGGGGATATCATTTTCCCATCTTCAGACACAGCCATATTACTGAAACCACCAACCAGCAGCAGTTTCCATCTGCGACTTTGCAGGAGATGCCTCAAGAATCGTAGCAGCGCAAGGGGCAGTGACCCAACGGCCTTCGCCACCCGATGCGACATGGCGCATGTCGAGGAACGCCGCGTAGTGCGACGTATGCTTGGTGCTCAGTCTGTACGCCGGGGTGGTTCAGCTACAACCCTCCCGGCCGAAAATGAATGAACTTGGGATTCCTCAATCCAATTTACACTCTGGTAAACTAACATAGCTATAGAAAATCACCATTTTGAATAGGTAAATCAATTATAAATGGGGTATTTTCAATAGCTATGTTAAATTACCAGAGGGTAAGGGATGGGCGGATAGCATTGCCAGAACATGGTCATTCGATTCGATCTGGTGATGTGGGCCCAGCACCTCAAGCAACGTGGCCCAGAAATTAATCCTGGTACTCGTGGAATCTCTTGGGGATGCCAAAATATTCCAAAAAAATCCAAAATACTTCCCATACCCTGGGTGAAAATTGATCCTGTCAGATGCTCTGAAGGCACTGAAAGCTCCTCATCCCCATCTTCCATATCTACTGTCATGGGATCACTTTGAATCTATTCCTTAAGCCAAATGCTGCCATGAACAAAAGAGGTACTGTATAACAAAGGTACAACTGTAGCATGTAGCTCTTCAATTTGCCTCTCTGCAGCATTTAATTGCAAGATTGCCCGCTCGGTTTTGTTGGGAAACCTATGGCTGTAGGGTACCAGAAATTTCATCAAATTTCCCCAGTCAGCAGTGGCACCTTGGCCAAATTCAAAGGCTTGGCATGGGCGATCCATCTCAAATGGACTTGCAGCAACCTGCCATGGGGATCTGGGGGTCCTATGGGGATCCCATGACTCGGGGTCCTATGGGCCTGGGCAAGGTCATCAGCAGGGCCCTGTTCCAGGCATTCTCGGCAAAGTCCTGGCAGGGACGGATTCTGATGTCGGCAACTCAAGAATGCACCTACCATGACTGGGAATGGTTTGTACAACCCACTAAAATGCTGGTTTATTTATGGCATCGGCTTTACCACATTTAAACATATTTAAACCATATGGCCGTATGAGGCAAATGATGGCACACCAAGTTTTTTTTAGGTACCATCCACTATATCCTCAACAAATGAAGAAATCATCAGAAAACCCGCTGCTTGATTTCTGGATTGCTGGATGCTGCTGGTATTGTAGTAAACCCAATACCATAAAACCCACCATTTGTGGATGGTTTGAATCCCACTCATTAAATTGTAATATTAGGGATGGTTTGCGGCATTGGGTTTACCTCATTACTATGCCAGTAATCATCTATCAATATGCATCATATTCTATTATTGGTAGTTATATTCTCAATCATGGTAGTTCCAATATTGTCAGTTAAGTTCATTATTTTCATCAACAATGATAGCCCCAATAAAATACATATTTTATTATCCCAATAAACGAGTTAATATGAACATTGGCAGAAGCAACATTATTAATCATTAACCCATGTCCTGCTCTTGGTAGTTATCCACCGTTATTAGCCATGATTAACCATTTGGAACCATTATTGACCATTCTTAAGACATGTCTAAACCACTATTAATCATTATAAAGCATTATTAAAAAGCAACCGTGGCTAAGTATTCTCTCTCTCTCTCTCTCTAGCGCCACATTACTAACTAATTCTATCCATTGCCATGTCCCCGCTGGTAATTTAATATAGCTATTGAACATGGCACATTTATAGTTGATTTACCGAACTTAAAAATGGTGATTTCCCATAGTTATGTAAACGTTTACCAGAGGGTAAGTGGTACATAAATTCTATGACAATGGATTGTTGATTCCCCAAACTCTAACTATTACTATATAACTATTGTCATTCCCAAAGTCACCGTAAATGGGTGGTATAAATCAGCAAAAATGGGATGGGTTATTATTGTTTTAACCACATTGTTACGAGTGCTGGACCTTTCACTTTCGCACCCCTTTTGACATGAAGTCACCCCACTGCAAGGCACAACGCGAAAAATAAAGTCACCCCACGAAATCAAGAAGTCACCCCACCAGTGGCAAATCACCAAGGCACAACATGCCCAAACATTTAATCGAACTTTGTGATATCGGTCTAGAATCTCGTCGTGCCTTTGCATTATGCCAAATATACGTTCTCAAAATCAGCATTTATTGATCAGCCGGCCATTGGCACAACAGGTTAGACAATCAAATCCTTTGAAGTTATTAAGCTATCTTTCTGTGCTCATTCAGAAGGGGTTACATACACTAGCCTAGCGACCTTATATTACATTGCACTGTAAGTTCCGACTGAAACATACTAAGCGTACACGCTAAATCTGCAGGAAATGGAAGCCTCAAATATTGTTGCCTATAGGGTATACCGCTGGTCCAAACTGGTCAAATGTGGCTTGTGTTTGTGTCAGGATGTGGGGGAAAAAAACGAGACCTAAAACGAGACCTCTGGGAGACAAAACGAGACCTATAGGCACTCTACTCATGTGCTCTCCTCTCCTCTCCTCTACTCTTCCCTACCCACCTCTACTCTATTCTACTCTTCTTTGCTCTGCTCCTCTCTACTCTTCTTTACTCTACTCTTCTCTACTTTGACTACAAGCCACATCATCGCAGTAAGGGGAATTCAAGTTTGAAGCCCTTTGCCCCATCTGTATAAGGCGTTCCTTCTTGCGCCATTAAAAGGATTCAAATTATTTTGCGTTTAGCGATCTTTTTGTCTGATGAAAGTGGGCAATCTACACAAACGACCCTGCAGGCATAAGGATTCCCCAAATGAATCCCAGTCCCAGTCCAAAGCATCGTGCCACTGCGATTTGCATCAAAAACTCAACATGCCCAAAACATATGACTAATCTGGGATGAGGTGTCTAACAGCACTTCCCATAGGCACAACGGTTGCGAGACGACTTCTCGTAAAATGAGACGAGTAAGGTCTACTACCCAGTACTATAATAAACCCTATATAATTACAACAAGCAACCGCCCCTTCCTCAACAGCTTTCCGGCCGCCTGCATTCTTTGCCTGTCGACAGACAGGAGCCAGGACGCCTCCGTTGTTCCGGTCGTGCCAAAACAGGAACAGGATGACCCATGGTTTTAACAATGGTTAATCATGGTTATATAATGGCTTAAACTTAAAACAATGATCAATACTGGTCTTAAACATAATGAATAATGGTTAAACCAATGGTGAATAATGTCTTAGGGTGAAAAAATAGTGAATACGGGATAATGATGGTTAACAATGGATAATAATGGTTACATAATATTCATATTCTACTAAGTGAGTATAGTCCCCAACCATCATCAACCAACCGCGGCGCCATGCACACTGCTCAGGCGTTGATCGTGACAAATAAGGGAGATGAAGAGGCAAAGCCATGCACACCCAATCCATAAGCATCCCCAATTGAGGTTATTTCAGATCACAACACCTATTATGACTGAATGTACGACATTAGCAAAGTAAAGAAACCACCCAATGGACCGATGTTCGGCCTGCATGTGACCTCCAACTTCCGTACGAAGCTCTGTTGGCAGTACCTCAAGAGCTGAAGCCATGGAACATGGCCGATTTGATGAATGATTTTGCTATTGAACATGGTCATTTTTCATAGCTATAAATAGTTATTTTACCAGAGGCAAAGGGAAGTCGGCAATATTAGCAAGTCATTCAAGTTTGGGTGTCGGATAGTGTATGTAAGCGAATTCCCTCGGAGAAAATAACGTACGCTCTGGTAATCAAACATGGCCCGCGGTAAACTCGTTTTAGTCAATGATTTCTCCCATCAAATCTCCATTTACAAACAACCATTATGTGTATATTATTGTATATGAGTCATAGGATTCCAATTGAAGATAAGGTGATCTCCCTTCATTAGATTGCAGTATCTAATTGCAAATATCCTCCAAGTATCAAGTAATCTGCTGCCAAAAGAAATCTGAGGTCTGCACAGCATGCATCGATCCTCGACCGCCATCAGATCCGGCAGGAACTGGTTCGGGGCCTTGCTAAACAAATCCAAGTGGGCACCTAGACCCTCCAACTTTTTTTCATAGAACTTTGGGCACACTTTTTGAAGATGGGATAAAAGACCCAATGCAAAGTTGCTTGGAGGGTCTGGGTATAATCATATATATATATATATATGGATAAATGGGCATGATGATGGACCAAAACATTGGGCACTCAAAACATTGATGAACATGGGACTTAAAGTCCGATTGCCAAATATGTCGCCAGAATTCTGTGGTGAGGCCACTTCGCCCTTGGGCATGTGCTTCCTTCGGAGTCCAGGGCGAAGAACAAACTGACTTCTTCGTCCCCCACCTGCGGAAGCTGGGCCCTTCCATCGAAACGGTGGTGACCGGTGGTGCATAGAGATGGATGGAGCTGTTTTTTCAGGCTTTTGCCTTGGACCTTCCAAGATCTGTGGAGAGCTCACAAAATTCCTTGGATAGTCAATCGGCAGAACACGCCAACTGGCACTCCATTGATTTCCCAACATTTCCCAACATTGTCAATTTTGATGTCCGGAATCTCAGTCAAACTTTTTTGAGTATTTGTTTCTTTTGAATATATACCTTTCAGAAGTTTTCGAAAGACATGTCGTGCCCTTTTTGCTTGCCTTCGAAAAGGCCAAAACACCCATCCGCCGCTGGGTTGCCTGCTCCCTCTTGGCATGCTTCTCATAGGCTTGCCTTGCCTCTGCATTGGGCTGATGGGAGATAGTCAGGAAGAGCCACCGAACCAGGCCTGCCAACGGCTTGACGCGGGCAAGGGGGATGGTTCTCCGCCGAACAAACATGGGAAAGTCCCGGGTGTTCCCATGGATCTGATATGATCTACTGATTCGAAGGTCGATGTCACCCATGATTTGGGAGTGTTTCTGCTATCTGCGATCTACCAGTAATGCAATCTCATTGATCTACCATTTGGTAATTTAACATAGCCATGGAAAATCACCATTTTTAATAGGTAAACCATCTATAAATGGGGCATTTTCCATGGCTATGTTAAATTACCAGAGGGTAATCTGATCAAATATACCGCTGGCATAGCAGAAACA